CATCCGGTACGTCGCTCTCGTCTCGCCGACGCGCCCACGCTGCTCATCACCTGCGCGCGCCTGCCCAGATCCATCAAGCGCCTCCTCGAGGTCCTCCAGGAAGAATGGGACCAGTCTGTCGCACAGCCTGCATCGCGGCCAGACAAGGGCAAGGGCGTTGCCGGCCGCGCGCCACCCGCCGTGCGCTTCTCCACCTCGCCCCTGACCGACGCACACCGCAAGATGCGCATGCGGCTGTCGCCGCTCCTGCCCATCGAGGAGCAGCTGTCCAAGCGGTTGTTCCCCGAGGCGCATGAGCGGCTGCACGACGTATGCGTGCCCGCGGGGAGCGGCTGGAAGAGCATGCTTGCGTCGCTGTCCAACGGCGGCGTCGCGGCGCCCGCAGAGAAGGAGCGGCGGCCGGGAACGGCAGATCGCGACGACCCGACGGCCGTGCTCGCGGCATGCAAGGACGACATTGTCGCGCTCTGGGAGGACCCCGTAGTGCGCGCGGTGCTCAAAAAGCACAACGTGCGGCTGCAGGATATGCCTGGCTTGTGAGTGCCGCGCGGTCACACACTCACCACGGCGCTGACGGCCGGCAGCTTCCTCAACGACGCAGCGCGCATCGCGACGCTCAACTACGAGCCGTCGGACGGTATGTAGCACGCCCACTGTGTCGTGTCACGCAGTTGCTGAGCCGGGCGTCGTCCGCAGACGATATCGTGCGTGCGCGGTTACGCACGCTGGGCGTCGAGGAGCACCGGTTCACGATGGAGAGCGGTAAGTGACGCGTGCATGTTTTATTCACCGCTGTTGAATGCGGCAATGCACCAGGTGCGCTGCCCGGGTCGGAATGGTACATCTACGACGTCGGCGGGAGCCGCAATAACGTATGTGTCTATTTACTCGTCCCGCGCTTCCCGCTGACCGCGCTGCAGCGGCCAATGTGGATCCCGTACTTTGACGACGTGCAAGCGATCATCTTCCTCGCCCCGCTCGCGTTCAACCTGATGCTGGAGGAGGACCCGAAGGTGAACAGGCTCGTGCGTAACCTCTCCCGCATCTCTCGGGCACGGCGGCCACAGATGGCCCGCGCGTATACCCACAGACACTGATGCTGTGCCTCAGGAAGACTCGATCATGCTCTGGAAGGAGATCTGCGGCAACGCGCTGCTCTCCAAGACAACGCTCATCCTGTTCCTGAACAAGGTGCGTGGTGCTTTTCGCACGCCGATCTGCAATTGGATCCGACGTTCTCACTGCGCGCCCCTCTTTGGATCTCGTTCTCTCACGCACTGCTTCGCGACGCAACTCTTGATGATGGCTCCGTGATACCGTGCACGTAGATGGACATTCTACAGGCGACGCTCGCCGCGGGCATCCGCGTGAGCAAGTACGTGCCCAGCTACGGCGATCAGCCAAATGACGTGCAACACGTCACGAAATGTGAGTCTCGTTGCGCCGCGCACCCCTCTGGTCTCGCTGACGAGGCACTGCAGACTTCCGGGACAAGTTTAGGGGATATCACGTACGTGCTGTGCGCCCCCGCCCGCCCAGCCAAGCTCTCCACTGACTGCCGGAGGGTGCTGCAGAAACGGCTGTCCCCGCAAGCGCGCGCGTTTTACTGGCACGAAACATCTGTCATCGTAAGCGCTGCTTCGCGTGTGCCGTTGGCGCAGCATCTCACTCACAGCGCGCTCTCCAGGACACAAGATCGACGGCAGCCATCCTCGTCGGCGGTACGCATATCTGTAGTTCGCGTTGCCTGTGGCCCCTGACTTCGTCGCATCCCCGCAGTCCGCGAGGGTATTCTCCGCTCGCATCTGCAGAGCGTCAACGTCATCTAGATCCCGCCACCCGACCACCGCCTCGTCTCCCATTGCATTGCCTCGTCTCCCAGGACACTACAGCTCATCTACATCTCCTTAGCATCGGATGTATTCATACATGTCCATAGCCCGCCCATAGCCCTCGATTCTCGCGGCGCGTCCGCCGCCAGCCCTCTAATGTATCTGCGCTCCTGCCCCCGCTCCGCCGCCAGGGCACCACGCCCCACCTCTGGTCTGGTTCCGTGATACCTCCCGCGTCGCGCCGCGGGCCCCTAGACTAGCGCATGTTGTTGTATCTATTATTAATCACTGTAATGCGCGATGCGATGCACCTGTTTCCGGAGCGGATGATCGATCGGACCATTGCGTGCATGATGACTTTAAGAGGCGGCGCGCGGGCAATGTCGCGGAGGTGCGCTTGGAGTTGAGGCGTGCGTGTATCATTGCGCCGCTCGGAGACGACCAGACCTCACCAACTGAGCGCTGGGGCACAGCGGCTCACGGTGTGGCGAGCCCATCGCGGGCACTCGCGCTCGGGCAGCGACAGCGAGCGGCGGACCCTTGATAACCTGGGTCCTGCTTGTGACACGCCGTGGCGCTGAGCGCTGAGCGGTGCACGCCAGTTCCATTGTTCATGGCAGTGCGCCTCCGTCCCCGTCCCCGAGGGCTCCCCGAGCTGGGCAAAGACGAGCTGGGCAAGGGAGAGCTGGTCGCGCGCGGCGTGGTGGGATCACGACGTAGACGTGCAGGCGCACCGCCCCGTCGCCCCCGCCCGGTCAATGACAACATGTCAACATGTCAACAAGTCGATGCTCGCTGGTCAATGTGCAATATGTCAATATGCTCGCTGGTCAACATGTCAATATTTCAACGCTCGCTGATCTGCGTCCACCCAGGACCATGTCGACGTCGGCGTCCGTCTGGCCCCGTTAGGCCCGTGCCCTAGATCACCGAACACAACACCGAGCGATCGCGTTTGGCTTTGGGCGGACGATGGATGGCGGATGGCGGACGTGGATCACATCTGGACGGGATCCCGACTGTGCTCAGATCAGGATCTGTCATACAGGCTTTCGGCCTCATGCCCCACGCCTCAGGACCCAACGTGGTGGCTAGATATCAAATAAATGATATTGATTATACTGAAGGATCCAGGGTGCCGATGCGAGCAGCGATGAGGTGAACGGTGATTAGTGCTATATACGTCGACGGCTCTTCGATGTGCGAAGTGTCCTGCCCGAGGTGTGCCCGGGCCTTCGCAGTTCGCATGCTGCATATGTGGCGCAGAACCTACTCATAATATGCCCGCGACGGCTGATGCGACGCTGCCCCGCACCCCGCACTTCCCTCTCCCCCTTCCCACTCCCATCAGCTCCGGTCGACACTCATCGCCTGCCGGATGACGCATTGTCTGGGCCATGTCAAGACTCAGAGAACAACAACTCAACCTGTACCTCAACAAACTCCAATCAAATTAACACGGACACAAGCCTAGCACGCCAGATTTGACCATCGGGGATGGAGACGGCATATCCCAATGCCTGTGCGCCGGCTAGTGACACGCAGAGCAGTGTACTTATACAACACCACCGCGGCTGGAATTACAACGTGAGCTGCGCTTGACAGGCGTGATAGGAAGCCTATACGCTACGAGTGAGGGTGCAGCCACTGACGACCGGTCACTGACCACCTGCTGGCGATCACCGCGAAGCAGGCTCTGCCACATTCATGCAGACCGAGGATGTCAAAGCCGATCCGCTTGCGACTATGGTGAGGCCCCCGGTGGCTACGTCAGCACGATGGCCGTGACATTCATAAGTCGTCGAATCGTGACGACGATGTCAGCAGACGATGGTCTCCAAGCGACCACTTATGGGCGGTGAAGGACACAATGGGTATCGGTGACATCTGGCTGGATGTCATGAACAATCCCTAGGGCCGTTCCTGCGATACATTGACGAGACCAAGTCAGTCACAGAGTTGTCACGCCCAAACCTGCCAGAAAGCATACCTTGAGTAGTATTCTTCGTTCATCCAAAGTTCTTCTATAACAGACAGCACATCGCAGGCTTCCTCCTGTCGATACTCAACCAACTTTGCTTCTTCGGGTTCCGCAAACGGCCCCGTCGTCCACTCGTGTCGAGCGAGCTCGCAACCACGATGCCACTGACGGATGCTAGCTTTCCATTTAGCCCTTTCCTTAGCCGTGCGGGCGATGCCTCCTGATTCTGTTACAGGAGCACCACAAGAAAATCGAACACTATCATCATCCGGTAGCGGAGAACAATACCGCTTCTTGGGGGGAAAGTCGAAATAATCATCAGGGAAATCAGCGGGTTCGCCTGTTGCCCATAGCCGCCTATCGTGTAAAGAACCCTCGATCAAGGGAAACGTCCACGACGTATGTCGTTGAATTATGCTGTATGCATGATTTACCTCCTTCTGAGGCAGTAGATCCCGCAGGATATGCTGGTAGTGGAACGGCCGCTTGTTGAGCTTCTGGCCTGCGCGAAATATCATCAGATGGATATTAGCGCTCGACTCGTGCCATCCGAGCGAGCGATATGAACATGGGGCTATCATGACTGAAGGTGTCATGGAACTACCCGTGGACGTGCACGAGTCTGAAGGGTGCTCGTCCTCTGCGATGACATGGTATCTGTAGACCTGCTCGGTCGTCAGCATGGCGATCGATGAAGACAGCCAGAGAATACACACAGGACAGGATTCGAGATTCTCCAAGTGATCAGGATGGGGTATCATCAACAAGCGGTTCGTTTCCCAAAGTTCTCGAAGGTCGCGTCGGACTGCGTGCTACATGTGAAGCAGGAGAAGGGGGCTAAGCTTGAATGATTACGTACGGAATATAATATTTGCACGCATATTGCAGCGGAAGATGTTGTAATCGGTACGCATGCAGGATGTCATGCAGTCAATCTTCGGAGTCACTTTGTCAACAACACAACCGGATGATGACTCTCAATAACTCACCAATCGCTGAGGCATGTCAGAAGGCAAGATATAGCACGCCTCCACTTCAGCAGACACGCATCCCGTAATCATGCATCTCGGGTGAGGTCCAAAAGCAGCGCCATCCTTGACTTCGAACGCGTCACTCGAAGAGCCAGACGTTCGCATTTTCTTCGTACACACTTCATCAATTTCCGTGTCTGGACACCATTTTCGTTTCGGCGGACGGAGGATGCTTTGGAGCGGCGAGTCTCGATCATTGTGGACATAGACCACATCTGATTTAACGGCCGTGACATTCGTTCGGTCACGCATGGGTATATCGTCCTTGACCTTAGACGTCTCGCTCAGAGTGCCAGACATCCGCACTCTCTTTGTATGGGCTTCGTCAGTCCTTGTGTTCAGGCGATGTTTCCGCTTCATGAGGCCCATCGCATCTGGACGAACGATCTTGTAGTCGCCGCTGGATGTATACACGAGACTGTCCTCAGAACGGATAGATTGAAAGGCGTCAAGTATAGGAATAGATGCAGTGCTGGGAGAGCTTTTGCGTGAACAGAGTCGTTGCCACAGTCGTCCGAAAGCTCAGGAGTTCTCAATTGCGTCTGTAAGGCCCAGCAGCAACAATACGAGATAAAGCAGCGAAACTAATGATGAAAATTCTCATTGTTGCGCCGAGTATGTCGCAAATTCGGTGTGGGTAGGGACGGGTTTGGACCAAGAACGCGCGCCACAGTGACTCTAGACGGTTGCTTAGTCAGCACCGTTCTTGACATCAAGCGCGTCTAACCGGAGTAGTGCGCGTGCGCCACCTCGGAGAGTTACAATATAGCCCCCTATGTCATCCAATACACCACCTTTGTTTCTTTTTTTCATGTTGTAGCATTTGATAAGAAGGGATTCCGCTGGATATTTCAATGGTCAGTTCATTTGGATACATTCATTGCACTATAAGACTGTCATGGTCGTCGCGTACCGGTCGTCGTCGGTCACACTCTGGCCCGGTCATGCTCGCTATGACCAAGTACCCGCGCGGAAGCTGAGTAACAACAAAGCGGAATTCTTGTATATAGAAATGCAGCGCGGATACAAACCGGTTGCTTACTGTACGTACCGTAGCACAGCCCCGTCGCTCATGTATATAAGCTACGAGTATTCGTTCGAGAATCCTCGCAGAGTCAACGCCAGTAATTCTACATCCTCTAACTCTCATTTGTCTCGCGTCTCGCCTCCGAACCGATCATTCGAAGCCCGACGTTCTATCCTAATCTCGTACTCTACAACTCTACTAAGGGGCTTCGGCTCTCGGCGCTGTGTTCCTCGCGCCGTACCTCGTCTCCCTCTCGTAGTCCTTACAAAGACTTTGATATGATGATAGATTACAACCATCGAAAATTTGCCTCGCGTGGGCCGGAGAGCGGACTATCCAGCTATGAGATTGGAGATGGATCGAGTTGACGGCGGAGTACGTTTGGCCCGTGCCTAGATCACTGAGTCATTGTATGTGGCTTTGGGCGGACGACGGACGTGGATCACATTGGGATCCCGACTTTGCTCAGATGAGGAATTATCATAAAGGCTTTCTGTCTCAGCTTCCAGGAGCCAGTAACCAACACCTCGACGCGAGCGGCGATGAGTACGATGGTGTGCTACATCCACGGCTCTCGATATGTCCTGCCGGAGGTGCCCTGCCCGAGGTCCAGGGTGTGCCTGGGCCTTTGCATGCTGCAAATATATGTGACGCAGAGCGTGCTCAACACCCGCGACGACGACTGATGCAAACAGCGACACTACCACTCCCTTCCTCAGGCTCTGGCGGACACTCATCGCCTGCCGTGTGCCCGGATCCACGGGCGGCTGCTCGTGTCATTCTCAATGAACCAAGCCGATACCGTAGAACAGGGCTCTCTCTCTCTCTCTCATTCGTGTAATCCCAAGCAGCACCCGCGGCCTCAGCTTGCGTGAGGCGGCTGACACCCTAAACGTCCGCTCCTTGCCTAAGCCTACTTGCCTCGAGCCCGGTCTTCAGCTCCAACTTCGGCCCCCTCCTCCCCGCACACCGCAGTGCGACCCACAACCGGCCAGCATCGTGGATACGGGACGCAACGCGGAGTTTCTCGAGGCCCGACGTCGCATTCGCCGCTCCAGGCCGTCGTCGCGCGCATGCTCCTCCCGCGTTTTTATAGCGAGCACTAGACCTATGGGCTGGAAGGCACCCCGAAAAGCGGCGTCCGCTTCGCGCGATGCGTGGCCCAAGGCGTGCTTGACCTTCAATAACCCTGGCTGGTCTCACCATCAGCGATACAAGCTTACCGTCTACGCCCCTGGCACTCGATAGCCTGCAAGTAGCGCACCCCTGCCCGCATCCGTCGCGGCCTGAAATGTGTACGCCGGCCGTCCTTCCCGGTGGGTCAGACGTGCGGCGCGTTCCAGCGGTCTCGTAACCTCGCGGTGCTCTCCCGCATGCTATATAGGGCTCTCCTGTTATTCACCTGCGATATTCATCGCACCCCTTACTGCGATTTTGACGACCTCGGTGCTTTGCTTATCCCCTTACTTGTGTGGCCCTTTGATTTTATAATATGATGATAGCTAAGGCCCCAGTAACGATACCTCAGCTGCATTCATGGTACCCACATCACATTTCAATCATATCATGAATGACGCATTGTTCAGGCCATGACGAGATTCAAAGAACAAAATTTTGTACACTTACATCGGCAATTAAATTGACACGGACGCAGGCCAAACACACCAGACGTTACCATCGGAAGTGGAGATGGCACATTCCAATGCATATGTCAGTTAGTGGAACGCAGAGCAATGTAGTTATACAACACTGCTGCAACTAGAGTCACAATGTAAGCAGCACTTGACAGATGTGATAGGAGAACGACACTAGGAATGAGGGTGCAGCCACTGACGTCCGGCAACCGACCACCAGCCATCTGCTGGTGATCACCACGCATCATGAGGGTGCAGGCTCTACCGCATCCATGCAGGCCGAGGATGCTAAGGTTGATGCGTTCGCGACTTCTATGGGGAGGTCCGCGAAGTATATGCGGACATGTGGGCCGCCGGTGGTTACGTCAACACGATGGCCGTGACAGCCATAAGTCGTCCAGTTATGACGACGGTGTCAGCGGACGATGGTCTCCAAGCGACCACCCGTGGGCAGTAAGGACACGATGGGTATCGGTGACAACTGGTTGGGTGTCATGAATTGTCACCAGGGCCGTCTCTGCGATACATTGACGAGACCAAATCAGTCACAGTTGTGACATCCAAATCCACCAGGGAACATACCTTGAGTAGTAGTATTCGCTCATCCAAAGCTCTTCTATAACAGCCGATACGCTGCCGGCTTCCTCCCGTCTATACTCAACCAACGTTGTATCTTTGGGTTCCGCAAACGGCCCCGTCGCCCACTCGTGTAGCTCGCAACCACGAAACCACTGACGAATACTGGCTTCCCATTTAGCCCTTTCCTTAGCCGTGCGGGCGATGCCTCCTGATTCCGCTACAGGAGCACCACGAGGAAACCGAATGCTGTCGTCATCCGATAGTGGAGAACAATACCGCTTCTTGGGGGGAAAGTCGAAATAGTCATCAGGGAAATCAGCGGGTTCGCCTGTTGCCCATAGCCGCCTATCGTGTAAAGAACCCTCGGCGAAGGGGCACGTCCACGACGTATGCAGTTGAATTATGCTGTATGCATGATTTACCTCCTTCTGAGGCAGTAGATCCCTCAGGATATGCTGGTAGTGGAACGGCCGCTTATTAAGTTTCTGGCCTGCTCGAAGTATCATCAGATGGAGATTAGCGCTCGACTCGTGCCATCCTAGCGAGCGATATGAACATGGGGCTATCATGACTGAAGGTGTCATGGAACTACCCGTGGACGTGCACGAGTCTGAAGGGTGCTCGTCCTCTGCGATGACATGGTATCTGTAGACCTGCTCGGTCGTCAGCATGGCGATCGATGAAGACAGCCAGAGAATACACACAGGACAGGATTCGAGATTCTCCAAGTGATCAGGATGGGGTATCATCAACAAGCGGTTCGTTTCCCAAAGTTCTCGAAGGTCGCGTCGGACTGCGTGCTACATGTGAGGCAAGAGAAGACAGCCAAACAAGAGCGACCACGTACGGAATATAATATTTGCACGCATATTGCAGCGGAAGGTGTTGTAATCGGTACGCATTCCGAATGTCGTGCAGTCGATCTTTAGAGTTGCCTTGTTAGCTATATAACTTATAAAACTGACTGAACTCTCGGTCACTTACTAATTGTTGAGGCATGTCGGGAGGCAAGATATAGCACGGCTCTACCTCAGGAGACACGCAGCCGGTGATCATGCATCTCGGGTGAGGGCCGAAAGGAACGCTGTCTTTGTCTTTGAACTCGCCACTCGGAGTGCCTGACGTTCGCACTCTCTTCGTACGTACTTCTTCAGCGGTCGTGTCTGGACACCACTTTCGTTTCGGCGGACGGGGGGTGCCTTCGAGTGGCAATTCTTGTTCAGTGCGGGAGAATGCCGGGTCGACCGCATCTAGGCGGTCGAGCCTAATCGTGGGTATATGCACAAGAGCGTCCATAGACAACACATGCTGGTAGTGGAATGGTCGCTTAACGAAATGCTGGCCCGCTCGAGACATCATCAGGCGAACGTTGGTGTTCAATTCGTGCCACCCGAGCGAGAGATAGGAGCAAGGAACAGTCGTGACTGAAGGTATAATGATACAACCCATGGGTATGCACGAGTCGGGAGGGTGCTCGCCCTCTACGATGACGTGGTATTTGTGGGCCTACTTTGCTGTCAGTATGATCACTTGAAAGGGCGTGTGATACATACAGAGCGGGTATCGGGGTCGTGTATATTTTCGGGACGGGGTATCATTAATAGGCGGTTTGTTTCCCAGAGTATGCGGAGATCACGTCGAACTACGGTTGAGTTATAAGTGAGGAGAAAGTAGACCTGGCGCGAGCAAGTACGCACGGAATATGATATTTGTAGGCATGTTACAACGTAAGACGTTATAGTCAGTATGCAAGTGTGTGATGGAGTCGATCTTCAGAGTCACTTTGTTAGTCACACAACCGACTGAATACTCTCAATCACTCACCGATCGCTGTGGCACGTCTGGAGGCAGGATATAGCACGCCTCCACTTCAGCAGACACGCATCCCGTAATCATGCATCTCGGGTGAGGTCCGAAAGGAATGCCATCCTTGACTTCGAACGCATGACTCGGAGTGCCAGGCATTCGCACTCTCTTTGTGCGCACTTTTTCAGTTGCCGTGTCTGGACACCATTTTCGTTTCGGTGGACGGGGGATGCTTTCGAGCGGCGAGTCTCGTTGATTGTGGACATAGACCACATCTGATTCAACGACCCTGACGTTCGTCCGGTCACGCATGGGTATATCGTCCTTGACCTTAGACGTCTCGCTCAGAGTGCCAGACATCCGCACTCTCTTTGTATGGGCTTCGTCAGTTCTTGTGTCCAGGTGATGTTTTCGCTTCAACGGACACTGGCTGCCTGCGAGTGGGTCGATCGCATCTGGACGAACGACTTTCATAGTCTTGTAGTCGCCAATGGGTATATGCACGAGACTATCCTCGGAGCGAATAGATGGGATGGCGTCAAGTATAGGAATAGGTGCAGTGCGGGGAGAGCTTTCGCATGAATAGTCGCTGCCAGAGTCGTCCGAAAGCTCAGGAGTCCTCAAATCACGTCTGTAGTGCCCAGCAGCAAAATTATGGGCTAATAAAACGAAATCACCGATGAAAGTTTTCATTGTTGCACCGAGTATGTCGCGAGTTCAGTGTGAATAGTGGTGGTTTGGACCAAGAACGCGCGCCACCGTGCCTCTAGACGGCTGCTTAGTCAGCATTGCTCTCGGAGATATCCGACGTCAAGCACGTCGAACCGGAGTACCAGTTATGTATACTCCAATCATTCTCAGCGCATGTACGCCCCCTCGGACACGGACTACAGTTGTGATATAGCCCCCTATGCATCCAATATAGCGCCCCTTTTGCTCCAATGCCGGGGTAGACTGCATTTGCGTGAGATTGCCAGCGAGCAGACTAGGGTCAGTTTGTTTTGACTCTGCTATTTGACGGCACTTCTACAGAGATCAATGTCTATGTTTTCTACTAGATTGCCGCCCTCTTTCTCGCATTCTTCATTCAAGTTGATATAGAATGAAAATAGCTACCTCGACCGAGAGTACTACAAGGTGATCGAATTGCCGCTTTCTCAACATAAAGTCTTCCTTAGCACTGGCACAAAATACCCAGCGGGCAGTACGTCGGTAATTCACGGTGTCAGAGTATCCGTATCTGACCTCCTGTGCTTGTCATTAGAATACATATTGATTTATCTAATGCTGCTCGCAAGTGTTGCATGGTGCGTACAAGCTTTCTGGGTGCTCTACTCGGCATAAGACATGTTAGTAGCCCCATAAGATAACGCGAAAAGCAGCGTCCATTCTAGTCTTTACTGGAACGTCTCAAGGGCCGTCACTTGTAGCCTTGGTGTCCATTTCATGATTAGTGGTTTTCCGAGAAGCATGGGTCGCTGTAGCGGGCAGGTTAAGCATCCCGGAGCGAACAGACAAGTTAGCTGAGCAAAACAGGGGACAATAGTTGTGTAAATGACAGAAAGAATTTGCCTTTGAGAATCATATATGTGCGGTGGGTGCATCTTCGTCGAACAGCCCTCAGACTGACCGCGAAGTTTCAATCTAGCTGGAAAATAGCATGTTTTGTTATGTGGCTGCCGCGTAGCGTGTCCAAAGCGGTGAATTTGAATCTTAAGAACATGATATACCTCTAGGACTCATCTGGCCCAGTCGCTTGGCCCCCCAGATTAGGTAATACTCCGGAGCTTGCCAGTCAGCGTTCCGCTTTGATCATGGCCACAACAACCAAACTTGAACACAATGGCGTTTCTGGCTTGTCTTCGGGAAGTGATCTTCCTTCGCAACACAACATCAACTCTGCTACTTTCAGCCACACTCTGTGCAATATCGACTCTGCTATTTCCAGCCACACACTCTCGCCATCTCTTCCTGCACCTTCGCTCTTCACTCCTTCTCCGCATATATTCTATCCATGGACAATAGGCCCATGACAAGGCTGTACACCAAAATTTTAGCCGGACAAATCCCAGGTATGGGTTCTCGCCACTCAACAGCCACTTGTTATCGATGTCTATTTCACTCAGAACCTGTCCCGGCCACCCAACACCTCGGGCAGTCCAGTGACTCTGAAGATGGGACCAAGCCTGAAAAAAGGAAGAGAGGATCGTCAGAAGAGGACCCACATTATGATCCAGAGATGGAGCTAACGCCACCGGCCGGGACTACTCCCAATCGCAGAGTGGACCATAAGGCTGCCATTGTTGAGGATGCACGGCGGAGAGCAGCTCATAAATCTCCAAGTGAGGGTGCCTGCCTCGTCACGGGCTTCCGTGACAAATCCATCCAGTGCTGTCATGTGGTGCAACGCGCCACATATCATTCCGAGGTCGGTGAAAAATCTAAGTCAGCCTTTGCGTATAAATTGCAACTCTGATACTGTGCATGCACAGCTTAAGCATCTGGAACGATCGTGGGCGTTGAAAGAAGTGTTTAGCCTCGACTCGCACTTGAACCTCCTTTTTCGTAAGTCTTCGTTCTCCAAGAGTGACCAGTACGCGTTGCCCTAACTGCATATAGTGCGAGCCGACCTGCATGTACTGTGGGATCGCGGTTTGCTCATGATACTACCACATCCGAAAATCATTGAGTCGTTCTACAAGAAATGGCTGACAGGCGGAGATCATAGTGTTGAGGAGGTGAGCCGCTGAAATACAATAATCTACGGCTGATGCTAATTGTCGCTACAACTTGCATCGCATAGTTCCTGGGCAAACTAGAGACCATTGAGGTTTGTGTGATCCCGCACAAAGAACTCTGGTTCAGAGGCCGTTTTACCGATGCGGCTCAAGCAAACAAAACTTCCATCTGCGCTGGGTTTGCTTACGGATTTGACAAGCTCCAGTTTTTCAAGACTCATGTCAGGCCACACTACCTGATCTTAAATGCTGGCTTGAAGCTGCTGCATAAGAGTCGAGAATCATGGGATGAAAACCTCCAGGATTTCTACAAAAGGAAAGGAATCAGAGCAGATGCATGGGCCATCCTGCGTTACGTTCGGATATTGTGTCAGATGTGGACAGCGCCCACGCCACCACCGTTTGAGAAGAAATCGGTGAAAAGACAGAAGGTAGACAACCCACTCGGACCCAGGTTAGTGAACATGGTTGATAATGGCGACGCAATCGCTTAGCTCGCTCATAGCTCTCTTCCTATCACCCCTGCGCCAGGCATACCGAAGACGCCTGAGCGGCGTAAAGGTACGTTGTTGCACTTTCATTCTCTAGGCTGCGCGGAGTTGCTTATGCGCTTGGGTCTTCTGCAACAGCTGCAATCGGCCCGAGAGGCTTGTTGTCGACGCCGCCCAAACCCTGGTTCTCAGGCGTTACTATATATGTGCCTGCAAGCCTGAACCCTGTCCGGGTGGTGCGAACTGCAAGACGGTGTTGGGTCAGCCTCCAACGAAACGAATCTATACAAGGCTGCCATATAGTTCCCCGAGCAACCACAGATACTATGGTGAGTCACTTATAGTTGTTGACGATACTCGCGTGCCTCTGACCGGGATTCGCTATGTAGCGTAAGCACCTGGCAGCGTGGTGTGGAATGTCCGATTTCAATATCAACACGTGTTTCAATATTCTGTCGCGTGAGTCTATACCATTATCTAGATATATCTAACCCTAATCCGTACATCACACAGTGAGAGCGGACATTCACATTTTATGGGATCGGGGTTACATTGCGTTTATACCTGAGCCTCAAGTCGTCGAGAAATGCTACAAGGGGTCTATTGTCCCCATCGGTGTGGACTTGGTGAGTACAAGGACAAGGCAACGAAGTGATGCAATCCTCACGCTGCTATACAGTCGTGCAATGATCCACTCGAAGTGAGCAAGAGCCCGGTTTACAAATACTGCATTGTTGTCAGTAGCGACCTTCCTCAATCCGAAGAGAATACTGCTTTTCCAAGAAAACTCGAAACGTCAGGCTGGTTCAAATCTCATGCTCCTCCCCAATTCTTTATCTACAACATCGGATCGAAGCTATCGAAGGGTGACGGAGGAGCTGCTTTCCTTTTGAGCCTAGATACCTTTTACAAGCGCCATAAGATCGGCTATCAAGCGAAACTCGTTTTCTCTCACATCGAGAAAGCCTTCTCACGATGGTCTACAGCAAGACGGCGTCAGGATAATGGTTTGTGCAGTTAGGTGTTTTATCAGTATGGCCAGTTTCAGCACGAGAATTATGCTTTATTATGAATAGCACCTATGTCACGATATGTAGTCCATTGTACAGTTATTCAAGCGTTTTCCCACTTGAAGTGCCGCCAGGGGTGTCGGCGCAACGCTTGCTCGCAGACAATTTTTTGGCCATGAATTGGCTTAGTCGGTATATAATAGATGATCCAGGTGCGCAAGCGTATCACTAAGACCACACGCGGGAGATTGTGACTATTACTCCACAGACCCGCATATGCCAGAGGGCACTGACACGGAGCTATTGCGGCTGTAGCAGACATATTTATGCTTCCCTGTAGTATTTTTACGCTCCCTGGAGGTGAAATTATGTTTATAGCAGGCGGAAGAGATCGTAGATACTTGAGACTTCATTAAATTCGAGCGTGTATTAGTCGTAGTGATGTCCACGGCCGGGCAGTGAGGCCCAAGCCTGCCGGGCCCATACCCGGCCGAGCCGCCAAAAGCCCGGCCCAAGCCCTGAAAAGCTTTCCTAGAGGGCCCGGCTTTGGGGTTCAGCAAGCCCGAGCCGGGCCCTAGGCCCGGGGCTTTTGGGCGTCTATATTCAATATGCTGAACGTACCGTATTGGGCCGGATTAATACATTGCCTGATATGTATCTTATTTGTCACTTCCGTACCACCGTCACTGACCGTTGCTGAGACCAAATACTAGGTCGATCGCCTATTACAGATGCATGATGTCATGTCATGCTCAAGGGTATTGTATCAAATGTCAGTATTTTTGCAAGATCATTGCATGTCTACTCACAGTGTTATGACGTCTATAATAGGCCTCACTTGCGTCCGGGTTTTTGACAGATTTCGTGCTGGCCTACGCATCAGTAAGGTGAGTCCGAACACCACAACCAGGCCCGGGGCTCAGCCCGGCCCAGCCCGGCTCTGAGGCCCGGCCCAGCCGTCAAAAGCCCGGCCCAAAGTAGGGCTTTGGGCCCTGAACGTTGAACAACACTAATTGGTCGACATACTTTCTTCCAACGCCAGATCCCGTTCGGCGTGAATCGTGAGAGACGAACAGAAGGTAATTGAATTATAATATCATAATCTTGCAATCATCTTAATATCACATAGGAAAGCAAGGGAAATGGGTGCTGATGATGAGTATGAAGTCTAAGCTTCTCCCAAAAAAACAGAGAAGGTCCCCAAACGAGTTGTCCGACCTGCGTCTAGAGCCGGTTGTGTTATTTTCACGCCTTGAATCACGGATAATAAGACGTGCAGAGTAAACAACCCGTTGACAGATCAAATAGGACGCCGTCCCGGTCACCTAGCCGACACAGTAAAGTAACTTTCTATGATCTAGCACCACGTTCGACTATATAACAAGGTGCGCCTGAAGCTCGGCAATCAAGATATTTGCTGGTAAGACAGTCGCACAAGTCGCCAAATTCTCGTAGAGTACATGAGATCAAGCTTAATCTGCGTCTGAAAAATCCTTCAAACTTTTGGTCGCGGTCTTTTCGCTGAGCCCCGCCCGCTCCCTTGGTCGTTCACAGATCGCCTTCCATTATCATCGACTCCCCTCTGTCGTGAGTCGCTCCTATGCCCAGAACCACCCGGTCCTCTACTTCCTCCATGCTCATACCGCCTTGCGCTTTTTTCACCTCTCCTCCGCTTTCCGTTCTCTGCTGCCACGTGGTCTCCACCTTTTCCCGCATGGTGGTCCGCCTGCACTATCTCTCTCCTACTACGGTCGTGCTGGCTGACGTCTGCAGCGTCAACCACGATACTCCCATGTTCTCTCGAACCTTGCTCGCCCGAGTGCTGCGATCCTCTTTCATGCACTTGCTCAGACTCCTGGAGCTTATCACTCACTTCTGCAATAGCTACATCAGCATATGACGAATGGCTTTCGGACACGTGCGCTATTTTCCGGAAATGCGGAGGAAGGACAACGCGCATGAAGTCGAACGCCGCCTGCGCGTACACGTCCTGTGGCGGCTGCCACGCCTCCGTCGCCTGCCGCTCGATCTCGCGCATTGTCGCCCGACGGAACTTGTCCGCATACGAGCCTGAGTGGTCGGGTGCCGGAAACCTGACCATAAACCGTCAGCATAACCCTCACTGACGAGAAAACATAGCCGCCGAGCGAGCATCTCACCGAGCACCAATATGGTTTAGCACGACCCTCAGTGCGCCGATGCGCCGCGCGAACGCACCCGCCATCTCGGGCGTGCTATGCCCCCGCTCGAGCGTCTTCTTGAACACGCTCGCCTCGGACCGGTTCCGCCCTGTGCGTCCCTGCGGGTCTATCGACGACGGTATATATGAGTCCGTTGCCTCATGCACGAGTAGCGAGACCGTGGGCGGTGCTGCCGCCGGGACGTTCGTATCTATCACCATGTCTGTAGGTTGCGAGGACAGTACGTCTGGTGATTCGATGAGCGGAACGATCGCGGAGGGATCGTAGGTGTCGCCCAGGATCACGAGCGTACGTGGCTGAGGTGCCCTCAGATGGAAGGGTAGATGGGGCACTTCGCGAAAAATGTAGCCAATACATGGATCTGCAAGATGTTCGAGTGAGCGAAGGGCCCATTTTCAGTGCATTGCAGATGTGATGACCCGCTGCAGTCGTACGCGTTGGAGTTTATAGAAGGTTTTCGGGCGGTTCCGCCTTCAAGTGACACGATAGTCCAGCAAGTAACGACGGCTTACCTCGGTGCTGAATTGGACCAGCATCCACAACGACCCGCCCTCCGCTCTTCAACCCACCAGCGACAGCGTCACTTGCGATCCCGCGCCAGAAGCCGTCCGGACCACATAGGACGTCCTGTCCCAACGCCTCGTTCTCCAGCGGGATATCATCGCCGTCGCCATCCTCTGTCCTCGTACCCGCCCCAGCGAGGACGGACTGCGTCTCTCCGGGCGCGAGGAGCTCGTGCACGGCGTAGCGCGTCGCCGTGTGAGAGTGCGTGAGGCGCATCTGCAGGCGGACGAAGCGGCGCAGTCCGCGTGGCCCATAGATCTCGATCGTCGGTATGGTGGGGAGCGGTGGGGCGGGGGAGCATTGGTGGGCAGGGGGAATACCAAGGGCATTGCGGAGAACGGTAAGGATGCCTCCGATATGATCAGCTATAGGAGAGAAGGAAGTTAATAAGGCGACGGGTGGCGGGGTGTGGAGAATTTCTAGAAGAGAGAGTTTCGGACCTGACAGGCGATAGGAAGGGAAATGGGAAGACGATAGCTTGGCAATACACCATCGAGGGTCGCATCGAGGGTCGACGCGGATCGCATGTATGTGATTGGGATAAGAAGCCCCGTCGATGAAGTAGAATTCTCGGAGGCCGCTCGGAGAAATGTGAATCAAGAAGACCTCAGGGACGGAAAGTTTCTTTATAAGGCTAACGTGGGAGAACGCAGGGCCAAGCTCATAAATAAGGGAGCATGCAGAGGCGTATGAGTCAGTAGCATCGATTTACGTGCACACCGTTTGACAAAGCAATGCCACAGTGCCGGAATGCGGTAGGGGGTTGTGCCATACCTGAAATTAGTGAAGTACGCAGTTTGTGCGTCATAGTAGTGGATCGAATGCCGGACCCGAAGAATCAAGGCAGAAAGAGCAGCTGCTCACGCGACATGTGGCGGCATCAGATAAAAGTCGAGAAATGAGTTTCCATGCATCTCGTGAGTATACCTATTCTGTAGAACGCCACACCAAAGAGGGTCTGGGGGTTAATCCTCTTGCGGACAAAGCGCCCCTCAGTCAAAGTTCCTTGATAACACTGTTCCCAATCTCCAGATTGCCCCTGGACTACAATAACAGTGGAAAATGATAGCAATTCGAACAATTTCAGCTTCGCGGGAGAATAGTCCCTCAAAGTGCTGCCATGCTAGCGGCAATAACATTGCTCACAGGTAAAGTTCAGAATGCGAGACCTCAATAGCAATGCAACTCTCTCTTGTGGCAAGGCCACTGCCAGCATGGCTGCACCTTCATCAAACCACAACTGGTCTACGCCCAAGACAGTGCGGGAGACGCCATCAAACATACTCAATGAAATGACGATCAGTGTACCAACGATTGGCGAGATTTGGACAGTCAAATCAGGCCATTGGGCATGAGGCGAGTATGTAACGGTGTATGACGGGTCAGCCGGTGGGTCTATGCGTGTTAAAACCAGTCAAGGGGCGGTCGGCACGTATATATAGCAACCATCGACAAGTCGAGTAGACTGTCAATACCAAGCTGCCAACCTCCATATCTGAAACGGCATGTGACATTGACCAGCCTAGGCAGGGTCACTGACCCCAGCGATGATCGATGGGCATAGATAGGGTCGATGCATTGACTTGCACAGTAAATCCTCGTTTGATCAGAACTATGTCTTTCGATCGCTTGATCATGTTTACTGCTATAATCATTTACTGATTACGATTGGCCATCTGCTCTAGCTCTCAGAAACAACAGCAGAGATTCAAAGGAAGCCATGGTGTGGCGCACAAGCACAAGCACAGATACGACATCTGCATGGGTATAAGGAGATTTCTCACCATGCATATGTGTGATGAAGACTTTTGAGAGAGTCCCGATTCTGAGACGTCGAGCTGCGTCATGATATGGTTGTTGTGAAAACTGGCGCAGTGTGCCCTCGGCGCAGTCAACCACTGGTAACAATGGTCAGCATGTACTGTGTATTCATACTTAAAACACATACTCCATAGCCTAGCGTCTCCAAGGGGCTGTACAACAAGGCTAGAACAGTTCCTGGTTTCGGAAGGTCCGCCGCCGCTCGTGGTGCCGAGAAAGGTGACGGTGATGTCGTGCACCATTGGCTGTGGACGTGGCGGAGGAAAAGAATCAGCTGTAGAGGATATCATAGCTGCCGCATGAGAAGTGCCTGTAGAGGACACAGCGAGCGACATTCGGAGGAAATGAGTTGGTCGTCCAAGTTGAAGTATCCGGAGGTGCAACATGAGCGTTCAGTAGGATGAGTTGCCTTTCTGAGTAGTAATCGAGTCACCTGATCAAGGAGCTGACGCGATCAAACCTTGAGCTGAAGTCTCCTTCCGACAAAACTTTTGGCGATATATCATTAATTGAGGCTGCTATATGAAGCTTAAAAATCTGCTAGGCTCCAGAAACCAGACGGATCTCGGGGGACAGGCTGGCTGAATGATCTATGAACTCGACAACACGGTACACCTGCACGAGACATATCGCTTGCTAAGTCTGAAGACGTGAACATTGGATAACAGTGATGTGCTGATTTTCGACCAGTCCGCGCAGCGATTTCGACGACTTTTGCGACTACTCGGCGACTTGCCTGGCCTGGATGATCGATAATCAGCCACGTCGACTTTTCGTACGCCGGGGGTCGCCAAGCCGGCTGCCCAGCTTCCATGACCAGGATGTGACCATCGTCTATCTTCTTATACTGTATACGATGAATCCTCCGTGCGCATTATGCAGTACTCCAGATCCATGCGAGTCTTCACGCATCTGACTTAGCAAATAGAGAATATGGATAAAAATGGATAAAAATCATGCTCCAGATCCAGGCTCGTAAGGCTGCATTCGGAAACCCCGCCCGTTCTACGCTTGCACGCCAAAATTGGAGCGTACGCTTCGACCTCACGCTTCGGGGAAAGCCAGACCGAAACAGCCTTCCGGCAGTCTCACGCTTGGCCTTGACGGTCATCACGGCGCTGTCACTCATTGCTGTCGACACCATTTGGGACGGCCGGCGTCTTAGCATCACTGTGGATGTGGTCCTCCTCACTGTCACTACTTTCACGCTCACCATGTCGGCTAGCTCACTGACAGTCAAGAAATATTACGACGAGACAAAGGATCACATGTCGAAGTATATGTATTCCCTGAGTTTGTCAGTATGATTTCATGAACAACTCATAAAATAGACCCAGTGTACATTCTCGATATCTCTTGCTACAACGGGCGACGACGAGTGCGACAGCGTGTGTTAAGTGAGGGCGCTTGTAGGCCTTCGTGCGGGCCGGTGACTAGCAACGTGGCCAATGTGACTGGCCTGTTACTACCACGGCTTGAGGTCAGGCCTCCACTTGCCTGAAAGCCAGGCGAAGGCATAGGCTGGGCGAGGTTGCTGAATACGCAGCCTGAAAACACGGCATTCACGCTCCCGCATAAGAGACGCACTTATGCTTTGTATGAGTAGATAGATCATCTGAAGAATTCCCTAGCATATATAATTGATCCGAAGTTCATGCGATCAGAGGTGACCTCCGGGCATGCCCGACACGGCGTCTCTCGCGACTTAGAACTAGCGCCCCCCTGTTGTATGTCGCGACTAGTCTTCGACCAGCATATCACTGTCAATGGATAAGCATTCCGCGCTCTACAGTACTCGTAGCTTATGTACCGATGCTTCCAAGCCAGCTTGCCGGTCTGACACCACAATATCTCTTATGTACTTCGACGAGTACGGCAGGTCATCTTCATTTGTTCCAACTTTCACACGCAGTGAACCTACCCTGTGATAGCATACCGGGCTAGGATAGCATCTGACTCTCGACATTGATCTGTACCTCGTACTCGACATCCCAACAATGGTTATTCAGGCCTGTCCAATCGCAACTAAATCTGCAATTCACATCATACCGTCAATCTAACAAGACCGCGCCACGTAATTTCTTGGCGCGACGACTGCACCTGACAGCTACGTGAATTGGAGATGCTGGCACTAATCGCCGGGGCCTGATCAGCGGAGCGCATATCATCCACTTTGGCACTATTCAATCGGCGCTGTGGCAATTCGTGTTTTGCTTGATGGTTTTGCCAACTTCCCCACGGGGAACACACAACACCACAGGATTCTCCGCGTGCCCGTTTTAGTTCGTCAACCTCGAAAAATGAGAACCGTGACCACCTTCTGCGCATTGCCAACCTGTCTCGTCCCGATAGCCGTTGCGGCCGTCCGCATGTGCTCACCTGACCACCAACTAACACCACCATGGTGTGTTCCTCGCTTCTTCGTATAAAAAGCTACCCCAGCGTTCGATTCCCCGTACACCCGGGGGCATCTTTGCTGTCAATCTTGAGCACCGTACGCATCGCCAGTCACGTTCTCCACTGTCGCATCCATTCGCCATGTTCGTGACTAAAGTCGGCATCGACCGCTTGCGGGGCGTCGCCCTCCTAGCTATCCTCACGTCCGTCTGTTCCACGGGATTTTGTCTTTTTGGGTACGACCAAGGCGTCATGTCCGGTGTCGTCATCTCCCAGTACTGGCTCAAGACCATGGGCAACCCAAGCACAATAATGGTCAGCACCATTACCGCACTCTATGACATCGGGGCCATTGTTGGCGCCATTGCCGCCGCCTTCACGTCCGAACCGCTAGGCCGCAAACGCACACTGGTCTTCGGTGCTTCTGTCCTCTTGGTTGGCACCATCCTCATGGGCACTTGCGTTGAGCGCATTCAGATGATGGTGGCGCGTATCATTACCGGCATCGGTGCGTCTAGCCAAACTCTCCCGCGTAGCTTCTATCTGACGAATCTCTCTCTCGGACGGGTCCAGGTATTGGCTATATAACCTCCGGTACGCCGCTTCTTCCTCGATAGCGGAGAAATATCGCTCATGCCATCGATCGCCTTACGCCTTAGTAACACCGGTGTACCAGAGCGAGATCACGCTCCCCGAGCATCGTGGCTGGCTGGTATGCTGCCAGCTTACAAGCATGCTGGGCGGGCTCATGCTGGCATACTGGATCAACTATGCCTTCTACTTTTATGCTGGCGGCGTTCAGTGGCGCTTCCCGCTGCTGTTCCAACTCATCTTCTGCGTATATATCATCGCGCTCACCGTCTGGCTGCCCGAGACACCGCGGTGGCTCATCAGGCATGATCCTACTCCCGCTCGCGGTGTCACCGTACTCGCGAAGCTACGTGCGCTACCGGAAGACCACCCGGTTGTGCAGCGCGAGGTGCAAGAAATCGTCGATGCGCTCGCGCTCGAGTCCAAAGAGGAGGGGACATGGGGCGACCTGTTCCGCGACAACGGCATCATGGCAAACAAGCGATTTTATCTTGCGCTCGGAATTCAGTTCATGCAGCAGCTCACTGGTGAGTCGCCGCCGTGGCGATGTACTGCTCGACGAGCTGCTCATCATGCGCGCGCTACTAGGTATTAACATCGTGACATACTATGCGCCAACGTTGTTCAAGGAGAGCTTGCACATGTCGCAGCAGATGTCGCTCTTTTTGGGGTGCTGGCTACAAGTGTGGTACCTCCTCATGTCATTTGTGACAGTGCGTGCTCCGCCTCAGATGTTGTCACACCCTAATACTCACTTTGCTCCAACAGTGGTACACAATCGACCGCATTGGACGGCGCAAGCTGTGGATCAGCATGGCGATTGGGCAGATGCTCGTCCTCGTGCTCGAGGCGATCTGCGTTGCGATCAATAACACAGCTTCCGGCGGTGCCGCGGTGTTCTTCATCTTCCTCTACGAGACGTTTTTTACTTGGGGTACGTGTGTCGCCACTATACAGAGCTTCGTCGTCAGCTGACAACATAAACGTCGAATTCCTGCGTCTGATCCGGCATAATGGCTGCATGAGCAGGCTGGATGGCGACGGTATGGGTGTATCCCGCGGAGATATTGCCACTCAAGATCCGCGCCAAGGGCGCCGCGTTGGCGGCGGCCGCAGACTTCCTCGGCAACTTCCTGGTGGGTTTCGAACATGTATCTCACGTCTGCCCCTGATCGTGTCAACAATCACACACAGGTTGTCGAGATCACGCCCCCAGCGCTGCAGAATATCGGCTGGCGCACATACATTATCTTCGCCGTCTTCAACATCGTGCAGGCGCTCATTGTTTATTGCTTCTACCCTGAGACGGCCGGACAGACTCTCGAGTCGATCGACGAGCTCTTCCGTAACCACGACACGTCTGTGAAGGGCGAGAGCACCGGTTGGGCGAGCGCAATGCAGTGGTCGATGGTGCCGAAGGCGAACGGCGTTGTGCGGCGACTGCGTGCAGACAAGCGTGCACAGGCAGAGGGCGCGGCGCGCGAGGAAGGCGCCTCCGACGCACCTGAGAAGAGCGAAACAGTTAGCATCGAAAAAGAGAAGGCGGGCGAGATGCACGTTGAGAATGCTGCTTCATGACGATCGCAGTTTCACGAACTACCATGACATTTGTTTGTAGAGCAATGATGTACACTATCTGTATCGTAGCCTTCACTCATTGCTAATGCATTGATGCATTGCTGAGCTTTCTACATTCGTGCGCTAAGTGGTGAGGTTATTCGGTGACATAGCCAGCACCTAAGAGGACGCCACACAACTGTATTACCTCACAGATAGGATAATCGGGAAGGAGTAATGGTGCATATATAAGACCGGATACAGTAAGACTGCATAAGTCTTGAACAAGGAATTTCCTGTGTCGTGCGCGATGTTGTGATTTATTTGGATCTGCACATGACCTCCTGGAACGCCACGTGTCAAAACTCGAAGCCTTTCTATTGCCACCTGTAACGTGAATATATTCATCCACCTCTGCGTTCGTTACACGAATTTGAGGCCCGAGCTTTGCGGATGAGATCAGTTGGCTCACACTGCAGCGATAAAGGCGAGCCTGTGGAAAATTCGTAGTGCATCACGCTGTGATTATTCATGGCAGAAGATGTGGAACAGGCATTGCGAGGTGAGCCTTCCTCCGTAATGAGAGTGCACGGAATAGCTCTTGCAAAGTGCTGGTATGCATCCTTGCGCTCCTCGGGGACATCTTGGACCAATGATAATTGATCGCCCGACAGTATAGACTCCGAGATGACATTTCAAAGTAACTTATCGTAAGGCAAGTGGGGGCTTAGCTCCCAACTCCGTCGCCGGCATCCGATAAGTCGAGATGCCAAGCAATGTGCTCCCCTCCACGCAGAACGTAAGAACACCCTTCCATGTTCGCAGGCTCAGGGTATCACTATCTTAAAATCCCGTGCCCTCTAGCGTGACCACACCATTCGATATGCGCCTGTGCGCTTGGGTAATGGACACATGTCGTGCGTAATGACAATGTATTCAAACACTGGCCTGAGTGTTGAATTGATGCCTTTCTCAGTGGCACGAATACAAGATTCAGCCTGCAGGTCGCGATCACAGCGCCGGGAGTACTTGGACGCTGCCTCTTGCTTAGACCTGCAAGGACATAAGCGTATTCGACACGCGGTTTCACGTGTTATTATGTCAGGGTGTCCCTTCTAGAGGCTCAACACAAGATGACGCATCACTTGACAAGCTGCCCGGCTTGAAGTGGCGCGAACGCACGTATTGTTTGTTGTCCAATATCTATTCGGTGCATTACTACTTCGAGTTGCTCTGTCTGGCCACTCGTGTTAACGGGCAGTCATACTATCCGAACTTCCAGTCCGATTGAAGTCCGTTCCCGAAAGAGACCATGAGCCTTCTGACGGTTCGCACGGAGTTCCTACTTCCTTTGCAGTACGCATTCGAAATACGCGAGGCTTGTTAAGCCATAACAGCCGCATTGTGACCTCCGGCCTGCTCGGCAGATCTATGCTTCGGGCCCATACATCGGGATATGATCAGCTGAGATATAAGCAAGGCAGGCGCGCTGTACGAATTTCTGGGATCGCGTTGAGGCAACGGCTGAGATGGCACCCGCCACAATCCTCGCTAACTTATCTCGTCACGGTCACGATTGCGGTGATCCGCAAATGCTCATCTGACCCACAGCTTACACCACCACCATCGTATGTCGCTCTCTTCTTCGCATAAAGGGTTGCACCAAGCTTTGCTTTGCGGTTCCACAGGGCACAGATATCTACATCTCTGAACTCGACCGTTGACTGTTGTACTCTCCCCGCCATGCTGGTGTCAAAAGTCGGAGTCCACCGCTTGCGCGGTGTTGCCCTCATGGCTGTCATCACGTCCGTCTGCTCTGCCGGTTTCTGTCTCTTCGGCTATGACCAGGGCGTCATGTCCGGCGTCGTCGTCTCCCAATACTGGCTCAAGACCATGGGCAACCCAAGCACAATAATGGTTAGCACCATCACCGCCGTCTACGACATCGGCGCCGTTGTTGGTGCCATTGCCGCCGCCTTCACGTCTGAGCCGCTCGGTCGCAAGCGTACCCTCATCTTTGGGACTATTGTCCTGCTCGTCGGCACCATCCTTATGGGCACTTGCGCCGAGCGCATCCAGATGATGATTGCGCGAGTCGTCACCGGTATCGGTGCGTACTCAATACCGCGCCGTGTTGCTTCTGTCCCAGTAAGTCGGGGTGCTGACTTTCAACGCGCCTAGGTATTGGTTATATTACGTCCGGTACGCTGCTTCTCAGATAGCGGAAAATGCCGCTCATTGTGTCTCGATCACATTGCGCTTTAGTAACGCCGGTCTACCAGAGTGAAATTACGCTGCCCGAGCATCGCGGCTGGCTGGTATGCTGCCAGTTGACGAGCATGGTGGGCGGGTTGATGCTCTCCTACTGGATCAACTATGCGCTTTTCTTCTACGCAGGGGGCATGCAATGGCGGTTCCCACTATTGTTTCAACTCGTCTTTTGCGTGTATGTCATCGCGCTCACTGTTTGGCTCCCCGAGACACCCCGGTGGCTCATCCGACATGACCCCACACCGACGCGCGGCGTTACGGTGCTCGCCAAGCTGCGTGATCTACCTGAAGAGCATCCAATAGTGCAGCGTGAGGCGCAAGATATTATCAATGCGATTGAGCTCGAGTCCAAGGAGGAGGGGTCGTGGGGCGACCTCTTCCGCAGCAACGGTATCATGGCTCACAAGCGCTTCTATCTCGCGCTCGGTATCCAGTTTATGCAGCAGATGACAGGTGAGTAGTGCAGCTGTGTCCACGCTCAAGGCTCACCTATAGCGTACAATTGACTAGGTATCTGCATTGTGACATATTACACCCCGACATTGTTCCAAGTGAGCCTGCACATGTCGCAGCAGATGTCACTTTTCCTCGGTTGTTGGGTGCAGACATGGTACTTCATCGCTTCACTCGTCACGGTGCGTTATGGTCCCTTGCGCTGCTCGTTGTGTGCTTACCTGATACAGTGGTACACAATCGACCGCGTGGGCAGGCGGAAGCTGTGGATTACTATGGCCATTGGGCAAATGATCCTCCTCGTTCTCGAGGCTGCCTGTGTCGCAATTGACAATCCAGCCTCAGGTGCTGCCGCAGTCTGCTTTATCTTCCTCTACGAGACGTGCTTCACATGGGGTACGTGAACTACCGGATTCTAGCGCCTGAGCACCAGCTGACCGTTGTATCAAATTCGTGCGTGCACCGGACTTCTCTGCTTATCTGCATGCGATCTGGCACACCGGTTGCGTGATCAGGTTGGATGGCGACGGTCTGGGTCTATCCCCCGGAGATCCTGCCATTGAAGATCCGTGCCAAGGGCTCGGCCCTCGCTGCTGCTGCTGACTTCCTCGGCAATTTCCTAGTGCGTTCTGTTCCTACTCATTCTGGGATCATATGTGGTGGCTCACACCCGCGGCCTTGAAGGTCGTCGAGATCACGCCCCCGGCGCTGCAGAACATCGGCTGGCGCACGTATATCATCTTCGCAGTATTGAACATCGTGCAGGCGCTCATTGTCTATTGCTGCTACCCCGAAACAGCCGGCCAAACTCTCGAGTCGATCGATGAGCTCTTCCGGAAGCACGTGGAGTCCGCGAAAGGCGACGGTGACGGCGACAGCAGCGGCAGCAAGACCTGGGCGAGTGCAATACAATGGTCGATTGTGCCGAAGACAGATGGTGTAGTCCGGAGGCTACGCATCGAGAAGCGGGCGCAGGCGGAAGTCGCGGCACGCGAACAAGGCTCTATCAAGGGCGTGGCCGAAAGAAGCGAGACGACGAGTTTGGAAAAGGAGAAGGCGAGTGAGGAGCGCGTTGAGAGCGCTGTAAGACATTGATCATGTCTCCGCCGAGACATGGACCAGAATGTTCTCACTCGTGACACGAATGTCGCCTGATGCCGTCGAGTAGTAAACGATGTCTTGTAATTCTAGAGCTATATTGTACGATGTAGATTTGGCTGACTGCTGGGTGTCCAGCGGGGCTATGCACACTCCGTCGACGTCTGGCTGTGTCAATCCTAACTAGCATGAAAAAAAGCCGAAGAATCAGAGATGTTAGTATATCGTGGTCCCCTTCCGTAGATGTGCCACATCATATGATTTCTTACATCCAACCTGACATCTCAGGAATGCCTAAGCATTCCGGGTAGCATAGATGTCTCTGAAGCTCACCCATTAAGGATGAAGCAAATCATGCTAGCTAGACAGTACTAGTAATCGGATAAGTTATGGTGCGTACATTCACTTTGCACACCAACAACTTGACCCTTTTATGGGTGAGTATTACGTAGGACGGTGGTCGTGAGTAAGAAACGAACGGGAAAGACGCCTGCTAGAGCAGAAAGCGGTTCTCAGGCCCATGGCTTGCTCCGGCGCCAATGTTTGCCTCATGTTACTCGATTCCCACGGCATGGAAATCCCCGACCTACGCCCTGATTCCCGCCACAATTGTCGACGACCGGAAAGGATGGAAAGATGTTAATGCATCGCGGGTATCTTCTGGCAGTAATCTACGGCTCTTGGACATTGAGCTTAGCGTACGCTATTACGCCTGCAGCCGACTTCAGCTTAGGTACGCACCGAGGTTGAATTCAGACCGATATTGTTAGCAAGCATCGCCCTATGGCCTCAGGAAGAATATATGAAGGGCTTGCCGTCCCCAGCATGGTGCTACTAGGTCGTGAGAATATAAGGACGAAACTCTACGACTGACCGCCATTAATCCGAGGCGGGGCCCAAGCGCGAAGACAGACTTACGCTCGATTGTCGGTTGTCGGCTGTCGGCGGCGGCAAAGCAATCGTGAGGTGCAACCTATGTGATGCAGATGCTACGCAAGTTGTTACTAAGGAGTCAGACGATTATTACTACGGAATACCGCGACGTGAAATCAGGCGGGACGCACTTTTATGGCGGCATACCGTCTCACTCACCGGCTATATAAAGCAATTCTTCCCAAATATAAAGGTTGACCAGGATTTATTAGCATGTGCTTACAAGGATGTCTCTCAAGTTTAGGATGGATGTCTTGGGGTTTGTTAAATGCAGATAAGCACCAGCAAGGTATACATGAGGCCTGAAAGTCTACTTAGTTGTTTCAGCATCCATTCCAGGTCCTTAACTCCCCGGTGATCATTGTGGAGATATGCACCACAAAATGGCACACCCGTTAAGCTTCTATAACTCAGCATATCTACCATCTTGTGAACCTGGTGCTATTGGGATGCCACGTCGTGACGACGCGTTCGACGCGTTCGTGTCTAATCACGTGTAGCGCGTCTCAGCGTCTGTTCGGGTTTTGCCTTTGGAAAGGACGGCGCCACACGCGCTCCTATATCCTTACTTTCTTTGCAACATAACAATATGTCAAGCCCATTCCCATTTGAGTCAAATCGCATCGACTAAGCTTCCTTGTTTCAATAATCAACTAGTGTCATTTTCTGTGAGAGAGATAAAGCGGGCATGGGCTGTTCATATCAAGGTTCCAGGAGCTACAGCACATCTTCGACAACACTATCGAAGTGAGGAACCTAGGAGACGAGATTATACGGTACGATGATATCGTGGCTGTTGGAGAGCGTAGTGATCTTTTTTTTTTTGCAGTGAGTGGTGCTGTGTGCACACCCCATCCATCATATTATGTATAGCGACAGGGCCGAGACGAATTGTTTAACCTTCTGGATACTAGTTGACTCATAACTACAGGAGGTGGGGCCTAACATGCTAGGTTGTCAACATTGGAACCTCGCAAGCGTCGACGAGAAATCACCATCTACAACCATACATCGCCATTATATGCTACCTAATACGCTGCGAATTGGTTCGTCTTCTCAGCACAATCATATAGGAAGATATCAGTACTTTGACCTTGACACGCCATTTCAGCCAAAGATCATAGCCATCTTGATTGTAAGTACAGTATCTTTCGGTGTTCATGTGACACGCTGATTACAGCCTGCTCATGCTATATACTGTCACACATTCTACGTCGGTTTCAACGGGTTCTCCCGATCATCGAGATTCAGGCTGAGCAGCAACAACACATTGTCGTTCATGACATCGCTTTGCTCGTCTTCGTCGTCGGCAACTCGCACCCACTCCGCCTCGGTGAATGCGTAGACGGCCGCACTCGCCAGCCGGCGTTCACGCGTCACCTCTACACCGGCCTTCCAGCTCAGGTCATCCAGAGTCAGCTCCTCGGAATCAAGGCAGAAAGCAAGCGACCGGAGATACGTGTAGTCGTCGTCGCCAAAGTTGGGAACGGACAGCCGCGTGCGGGAGACATTCGTCAAGGCATCACACACAAAGCAGACGGCCTTGGACGAATTTGTCCACCTGATGCGTGACTCCTCTTCTTGGACGTTGTTGGTCGACATTGTGCGTAATAAGTGACTGGCAGCACGCACTGTAAGATCTCTACTGATGAAATCAATGTGCATCTCGCATCCCACCTAGAGGGATGGAAACAGATGCCAATTTGACTAGTAAGAGTGCGATTCGCTCGCAATGTAAAACTGGTACGACGTCGCGCTTTCAGACAAGGCACTATGAGCGCAGCGGGTGAGCGTGTGTATCAGTAGTTGGAGACTTAACTTACGAAGATATGATGTTTCCAGAAACAAGGTGTACGTGTGAGGGCGGTTCTGTGGTCGCCCTTGGTAAAAGCTCAAGTATAGTTCTGTCAAAGCATGTGCACGCTAGATGCATACTATTTGAGAGATCTGATGTCCTGACAAGCAGCATGATGTTTCAGGTTCGAGAAGATCGTGGGAAGATGGGTGGCTGTTGCCCAGCTGTGTCGCCCCGACTGTTCTGTTCAATGTCTGGATCTGAGGCTTAGATCCAGAACGCGTGCACTCCGTGCTTCATTAGATGCACCGCAACATGACACATGTGTTCGGATTGTCCCTGATCAGAAGTTATCCAGTGCTGCGCCCATCATTGCTCCTGTAGTTAGTACAAAGGCGCCCAAAAGCGAGGTGCGTGTAAAATGCTGCTTGTGTCGAGGTGTGAACGCGCTAAAGAGGTAAATGCTAGGGACGACATCTGTCTATGTGTGTGGTCCGTGCTGTGTCGCATCATCCACTGCAGCATCTGCGCGTAGAGACAATCTTCCGTGCTGTGCCATTAGTCATCGCCGCTCAACCACATGCTCCGTCTCCGATCATGCAGGGAAGTGGCAGAGAACTGCGATACACAGGTCGAGCCTAGTCGAACCCTCTGATGTCATTGGACATAACTGAATCTCAGACATCGTATAGTGATTTGCCAGGCAAATGCATACGTAGATCCCACTTGCGCAAGTGGTACAAGGTGCTGATCACATCGGACTACGGTCCTCGTGTGGACACCTGAAAGAATGCATATTAGATCATGAAATGTGTGCATGCCAAACACCTGGGCTCGGGCAAATGAAGGGCTTGTTTGGCCTGCGGGCCCACATAGGCGAGTCCGACCCACACTGCTTTACGAGAGATGGTACACGAGACGGGTAAGGACTCATCTGGTTCCCCCCACCAACAGGTTTGGCAAAGGAGGACGTTACTCCCGCTGATGGTCAGGGTGTTTGAGCGGGGAAGGCTCCGATGAGCAGCCGCTGGTTGAGCAGTATATAAGGAGCGGGCGGACAATCTGCACTCCTTATCGCTGTGTGACCTTAATCCTCTTCACGTCTTAGTTCTCTTCGTAGGTATTGCACGGTAAGTGGATGTCCTGTGATTGCATGTATGCCTGTCTGTGCTGACCCCGGACGTGCAGCCTCCTCTTTGTCTTTCTTCGACTCAACCATTCCTTCATCCGTTTTCTTCACGACTTAATAATCACGATGCGTGCTTTCGGCTACGTTCTTATGCTCTGCTCCTTTTCCATCACCAATATTCTTGCGGCACCCGCATTGTGAGTCTGTTCTGTATTGATCGAGCAGTGTGCAGTACTGAGGCTGCTGCAGCAACTCATGGTATGCTCGGGATGACCTGGACCTGATCTCTCGGGAGGACCTGGTCTCGCTCTTGACGCGCGAGTTGTACATCCGGTTGACCCCTTACAGTTATTGTCATCTGACATTGGTACTACAGGAATGCGCATGAAACGCCTACCCTGTACCGCGGCAGTAACGCGAACAGTCCAAAGTTGGACAACGTGCGGCCCAAGGACGCTGTAATGGACGGTGATAAAGTCAGCACAAGTGAGTCGATCTTTGCTAACTGTGCGATCGGAGTCTAATGCGGATATTCGACAGCTGCCAAAGGGATATCGACATTCGACCGCATCCTACCTGCCTGGAAGGCAGACAGGAACCAGTTGAAGAACATTTGGGTGCTGCCGGACGAGGCGGAACTCACGGTGCTGGAGTTGACAGCGGTCAACGATAACCGCGGCACTGGTCACTGGAACATCCGGCTGACGGTTGAGATGACACTGGAAGAATTCAAGGAGAAGCTGAGTAACCTGAACGAAAAGTGCAAGAAGAGACCTCTCACGGCTGAGGAGGAAGCAAGCTTCAAGCCTAAGCCTAAGGATAACAAGAACAAGAAGGGTAAGTGGACAATCGAGGATCTGCTCGCTGCACTCGAGCGACGTGGATTCGGGGATCTGCTGACCCACTCTGCGCGCGACAATTATGTCGTATCTGGCTCGCACATTGCACGCTACGACTCATACCCCTACGTTGCTCGTCGCTCCAACATGTTTGCCGAGCTCCCCCGTTCTGAGCTCGACGCTCGCGGCTTTGACGGCTTGGAGTGATACTAAGTTGGGGTAGTGTATATTGTATATGATATATCGCACGATGTAGCCATTACCTTCCAGAACATGACGTAATCGCGATGTCTTAGCCATCTGAAGTGTGCTTTTATGAGGTTCCATGCTGGTAAAAGCACCTGGCGTTTTCCGCAGTAATGCTAGCGAATATAGTTGAAGGCTGCTGCTCATGTAACAATCAAAGTTCAAATTGTGTCTGCATTGTTCTTTGATCTGTCTCCCGCAGCTATCCACTTGCTTCACATTTGCTTTGACGTGCTCGTCTTCGTCACGTGGTCGCGCATTTGTGCCACAGACGCATGCGGCGTCTAGTGTAAGGTGAATAAATCAGTGTAAATTGCCCGGTACTTTTTTACAGGTAATTTACAGGTAATTTACAATTTATTACAAGGGTGTCCATTGAGAGGTGTAAATAATTCCGAATGGCCCCCATTTGGCTTAGACCAAAAACGTGTTTTGCACATGCATGTGACCCCTCCTCTTATCTGTAGGACCCCCCGTGCAGCTTTTGTTGCGACTTGGGGTCAAGTGACAGGGAATGAACAAACAGACAGGCTGGGGGTGTTCGACTGGGTCTCACCAAAGCGATGGTGAGCAACACTCAAACCTAAGGCTAGGGACAAAAGGTATATTAGTTAGGTAAAAAAATAATACAAAGGGGGCTTACTGACCTAGGGACAAGAGGTCGAAACTGAGGTCCCTAGGGCAGCAGAGGCTGGCTTATATACAGGGGAAGATAAGGGCAGGCTGTGCCCATTGGTCCATGTGCAGCTGGTCCGTGCACAGCATGCTGACACAGCCCTGGGGGCCGGTGAGTCAGAGCGGCTGTGTCAGCGGAGCCTGAGCTGTGCCGCGCACTGCCGCCCATCTAATCTGATCGTACAGTAGATAAGGAAATGTCTGTTTCAGGCGTATAGTACAGAGGTCACGGGTTCGAGCCCGCGAAAAGGAAAAAATTAAAAAATGACTAGATGCCATGTCAACTCATGACACCAGCTACAGTCAAAACCTCAAGTGAATGTCATGCTAAGGACACAAGTATTTGGTTGCTCTCCAATTCAAGGCAACAGTGAAAGAAAGGACAGGGGCTCCGCATGGGGGAATTCAAATGAAATTTAAAGCTCACACAATGCACATAACCTCTCAACTTAGCTCACTGTTGCGCAGTTATAGCATGGATGCAGACACGATAGGCCGCCCTGTGTTTCTTCGAGCTGCGCATAGAGCATCCAGCAGATTATGAATCTGTGACAGGTAACAAAGCATGTCAGAGATGTCATGATGAAAATCAAGACAGGTTGCATGCACGAAAGGAATGAATAGAGCTATAAGCAATCAGAAACTTTGAAATCTTCAGCTATCGAACATGTGTGCCAAAAGTGACAATAAGTAGTTACTAAGGTGAAGTATCTTTATAGACTCCTCAAAAGATACACACATGCTACACATCGAAGGCAGAGCATGCAGAATTTGCATCATGACATGCTTCCATTTTCCAGCATTCCGATGAAGTCAACCTGTGACAATGGTACATAGGCACAGATCGACTCCACCCAGAATGTTGTTTGATAGGACTGTTGAGATAGCTTAGCAAGAGCGCAAATCAACACCTTGACAATCGTCTCTGCCAACACATTGGCCAAAGCCAATGCCAGTGCCACAAGCATGAAGAGCAAGCTATTTTGGGACAGAGGAATGCAGTGCTCAGAGGTCGACCTAACCACTCGGAGCCCATTCCATTTTAGTGACATGATAAAACAAAAACAGGATCATCTTCAGGCAAGATTTGATAAGTGCAAGTGCAACAATGCACTGCCCTCGTGTGATGGGTACAAACATTAACACTGCAAAGCTTCGACCTCAGCATGCTAGGTGCTGCTTAGTCAGCACATGAAATGCAGGGATTTTGGATTGGAACACTGTTTCCACGAGCCCCCTCACTGCCACGCTCAGGGAGGCAGAAATCACAAGAGCACACCTGTGATTTAGAGCTTGGGACTCACTATGAGGCTTAGGCTATTGAGTCTTTAACTGCTTGTTGATACTAGTACCTCCAATGTTGAGATGAATGAGCCACAGAAAATGAACGTGGGCTGAATGGACAACAACAGGGATGGGTTGTGATGGTAAGAGCGCAACAATGCGACTGCACCTGATCTAATCCAATCAGATCTCCTGTGTGAGCTCAACCAGGAATTCCAGTGCCGAAATCATCTCCTCCATATTCCTTCATATTTTTACAATTACTGAACACTCACTGCATACATTACAATATGGACACCTCATCTCAGTGTAGGCTACTGATGATACAACGGTCTATACTCCTATATCGATGCCTGACTCGTAGACGACGAGCGAGGACTTATGGACAGTGCGTCGTCCTGAAGATCGAGCGAGGAAGTCGAGAATGACCACTACCCCAAGCGAAGAGGAGCAGAGACTTGAATGAATAACCAGGTCGAACTTAGGGTTCGACCGACTAATGGTACAGCTACTTATACAAGTACCGACTACGCACGGACCATCGTGTCTATGTGGTCGTGTTAGTGAAGAAAGAAACGTAGTGGTACGATGCCGAGTACGAAGTGCGCACGGACCCCATTATGTAAGCTACATAATGTTCAACCTGCGGGTGAGCGCTAAGACAGGCGCCAGTATGGGCGCTAGTAGTACAAGGAATAGAGCGGAAAGACAAATGTTTCAACTGAAGGCCATACCACACAGACGTCCATTGAAGATTTGATGTTGTAGTTTCCTGAGCAGAACATAACACACTTCCTTCAACCAACACAGGCTCCGAATATCCATGTATAAAGTCTGCTACTTATCCCTTGTACCCTCTTGTCATTCATAGCATCTCTAAAGTTCGGTCCAAGAACGGGTTTGGACTGTCCGAACCTTGAACCGAACCTGCGGTTCAGGTTCAGTTAAGCTCAGTCCACAGGTTCCCCCAAAGGTTTGGTTCAAGGTTCAGAGCCATCAAGGACCAGTTCGAACCGTGAACCAGAATCAAGTCTCAATGGTTGCAAAAAGTACTTAATTAAGTTTAAAATGCTAGTCTATATTACTCTAACTGACAGACAATGTCTTGATCTTTTCACAGGGCCAGCGTGCACTGCTCCCTGAACAGCATCATGATGCGTACCCTGCCTGCCGTCGGGGGATGCCATTGCCTGCTGAAATAGGCAGGCTTACATAAGCTGGCATTGGTGAATGCGACAACTATGAGAGCATTGCACCTCACATATCCTTCTTAAATGCAGAGTCCCTTGTTTGGTTATGTATATACTTAAGGTATGACCCCAAAATCAAAAAAAAAACATCTTTTGTATGACCATTTTAGATCTGAAGGTTCACCAGGTTCAAACCTGCTCTGAACCTGCCAAACCTGTTCAGTGGGTTCGGTCCAAGGTTCGGTCCAGTTCAGACCAGTGGTATGTAGGTTCGGTTCAAGGTTCAGGGCAAGAGGCCCCTAAACCAAGCTAAACTGAACTTCGGACACACTAGTTGTTCAAAGGTCCGTTATCAATGGCTGACTGCCAATTCTCAGCCTCTCAGTATATCATGTGCATGTGCAAATAGACCCAAGCATCATGTTTGACGTGTTTTGTAGGGTACAGTGAAATAGGCCGGGCTAATTAGCTATGGCTAATTAGCCCTGGCTAATTAGCGCTAATTAGCCATAAATTTCACAAGGCCCGAAAATTGAGGGTTAAATAGGTTATATGATGTGTGCTGATTTTGGCCATGTTCAGACACTGTCCGGATGCAATAGCAGTAGTTGTACCTTGCAGTTGTTCTGTAGAAAGACTGGTAATCATATTATTGAACAGGTTTCGATTGCCTGTCAGTGTAGCAACATCAAGATAGCAATTCTCTCGACCATTGCAGCCTCATATGTCACTACAGTCCCCCACTGAGCTCACACAACAAATATTTTGCCTTCACCATTACTTGACCAAGCTTCCTTTGAGTCTTCCCTACAAAACTGTGCCAGAATCGTGCCTTGTGTCATTCTGCATTGATCTGGAGTGGGAAGCTGATGTCGGGAAATGGGCAGCTGTCAATTGCGCTCTTGAAGTACAACTGGGGCCACAAACAGGGCCTGGGGACACATTCATTCTGAATGAAAGGGGTCCTGGAATTGAGAGCTTGCCTGACATCCTCTCCAGCTACATGCCTGAGTTCTCGGGATCCCCACTGTTTCAGAAATGGATCAATGACTGCTGTTGGGTAGCATAAATGGCTTACAAAGTAGCCAGACAGCAGGTTAGCATAGCGAGATTCAACCTGGCTTTGTGCTTCTGTGATCTTGTAACTTTGCAGGTTCCACCTCCCATTGCTACCCAAGACACTCAAGATGCCTCGAAATCACTCACCTCCATGCTTGGCAAGCGCAAAGGAGCTGAGAAGCAAGCAGGTGGTCAAAAAGCAAAAGTTCAAGCCAAGAAGAAAAAGGTAGCAAAGGCCGAGACGAAGATACTCACAGATTTCACAGACACAACCTTCATTGATAGTGATGAAGAGCCCGACACCTGCATAGGAGGTGTGAGGCTTACCCCAATCTTGCTCAAAGTCACAAGGCTGTGCCGCGATTCCCAGAATCAAGACAAGAAATGGGTGTGATGTCTCGGTGTCATGGGTCAAAAGTGTTTGGCACGTGAACATAGTGGACAGCTTGAACATCATACCACTGAAAACACCTAAGTTGAATAGGCAAGGCAAAGTCTAGCAGATCATGAGAAGAAACAGACTAAAAAGGAAAGCTGATCAACTAAAAAGGAAAGCGGAGCATGGGAAATTGCCATCTTGGGCAACTTTAATCAGGTGACTTTCCTAATGGGAATGGAAGCCCAGAACCAGGTCCTAGGCCAGTGCAGAATCCAGCTAGGCCAGCTGTGAGTCAATCTAGTGGTAATCCAGACGAGGTGTAGGCCAAACCAGTCAGTAACCAGGCCAGGTGTGGGCTGAACCTAGAAAAATCCAGGTCAAGTGCAGGCCAATCCAGTAACACCTAGGCCCAGCCTAGGCCAATCTGGCAAATGCCCGGTTTCAATCCAGAATGAGAGAGAAATGCTATTGGCTCATAAAGCCTGCCCTACCAAGCAAGCATAAATTGCTATTGGAGGAGAGAACCTGCTTATGAAATAGTGATGAGTGGCGAATGAATAAGGCAGAATTAGATGCTTAGTCAGCAGGCCTCCAGAGTAGTATATAAGGACCCAGATTTTGTACAGTACAGACATTGACCCACTTGAGAGAATAAACATATTCTTCCTCTAAAGTCAGTCCACTGTGTGTAAACCAGTGTAAACTGCTATTGACACTGTAAGCTTGCTTGAAGTAAGGCTTGTCTTCACTGTCTTTGACTCTGTCATCACTGTTGGCAACATTGTCAACATCATTGCTCGTCATTGCTTGTACTCACTCGTCATCACTTGTATTCGCTCGTCTAGTTACACTCACTTGTCATCACTTGTATTCGCTCGTCTAGTTACACCAAGTCATTTGGTGCTTATCTGCAGTGTTGAGGGCATACAACTTGCCCAAAACAAACTGTAGATTGACTCTAAGGTGCTTGCTTATCTGAAGCTTGCCTTTGTTGTCATAGTTCGACCTTCGTTCAAGCAGAACCCTGGTCTAAGTCACACTCGTCACATATCGCCCAGTTATCAGCAGTCTGTTGCTCAAGCGGAGTTATAGTCTGTTGAATCAAGCCAGTCAAGTCACGCCAAGTCACGCATAAGCCAGTCAATTCACATATAAGCCAGTCAAGTCACGTATATGCCAGTCAAGCATCCAAGTCACACACACTCATAAAGTCAATGTTAAGCCTTTGAAATTGTTGAAATTGGTGGTCTGGTTGTTGGTTGTTATCAGTCCTTGAGTGGTCATTAGTCAATCACATTCTTCCCTCAACCCGAACAACTGTGATAGCCTGATACTGTTGATGTATCTGGTGAACCGCACCAGAACACTTTCTGACCTGACATCAGTAGTGCAGGTTGTCACATCAGCTGGGCATGTCCTCGCAACCGAAATCACATATTTACGCATGCCAAGGACTGCAGATACTTGCCTGCAGACCTGCATCACGAGGTAGTGGTCCTGACTGCTGTGAAGTCAAATGCCAGTAAGGCCGAGGGGTCAAAAGCATCTGCTGATGTCAATATTGGCAGCGACTCCAATGCGAACAACAACAATGATCCCATCAAGGCTGCACATGAGAAGTCCGCCAGCACAATGATGAATCGGATATTCATGGGAGAGGGGAGAAAAAACTTGAAGCTGCGGGGTGATCGAGCATTAGCTGTGCTCATAGCTTGTGCTGGCATTTCACCAAACATTGTGGACTCACAGCAGTTCAAGGACTTTGTGACCATCATTGGTCGTGGGGTTTATGGATCCCCATCATCGACAACCCTCCGCAATCATCTTATTCCCAAAGAGGCAACCTACATTCACATTCAAACTATAGAGCTCCTTAAAACACAGCAAGACCTCACACTATCTTTCGACAGGGGTAAGACACGGAAGCCAAAAGGTGTCTATACTATTCATATCAGTACACCAGAGCGCCGGGTCTTTCTGATGGACCTGAATGATACCTCCCGTGTTAGCCATACCGCAAATTATATTGTCGAAATCCTGCAAGAGGTGTGTTACTCACATATCTCTACAACATTGATTACACAAGGCGAGAGCTTGACTACATATGTTTCAGATCATAGCAGGTGTTGGTGCTGAGAGGTTCTCTGGCATCATGTCAGATAACACAGGAAATACCCGGAAGGCTTGGCAGCTGATATGCACGATGTTTACGCACATTTTCAACATGCAAGACTCATGTTATGAGATGAATCTCGCATTAGGTCAGATCTCAGAGCTTCCTGAATTCAAGGATGTATGCACCTCACTGCCATATTATGTCATCATCCTTGTATGTTCAGGCTGAGATACTGAAATGCAGGTGATCTCTGACATGAGAGCAATCTTGGCATTCATGAACAAATTGACATACATGATGGAGCACTTCAATGATGCACACAAATATCTGAACATTACTATAGGGCTCGCAGCAATTGGGGATACTCAGTTCACTACACTGACATGGACCACAATCTCTGTATGGGAATGTCTTCCAGCTTTCCGGAAGATTGTTGCCCAACGTGAGCTTAATATAGAAATTGTGGTAGGTCATTTACAATATATTACATCTACATTGACTGACCAGCGCTGTGTCAGTCAAGAAACCACCTATTTGAGCCAAATACCCATGAGACATTACAGTTCAAACTCAGCTTAAAAATGTTCATTGCGGTAACCTCCCCCTATGCAAAAGCAATTAAATGTCTCGAGTCATCCTTGTCAACTGCCTCTGATGTCTTTGTCTTCTGGCCTGGCATCATCACGCAGTTGCACAACCTGTTCATTCACAACTGAGCCCATTTGGAGATGTCAACTATCAGCGATGTCCACGCAATCACAAACCAACAATACAAAGGGATGATTGATGATGGAAGTGAAGGCATATATATTACTGCATTCTTTCTTGATCCATGTATGTTCATTATTTTACTGAGCTGACGATACACAAGCTCACAATGTAGATATTAAGGCTACAGAGGAACACCTATCTTCAAGTCATCCAGCATCAATCCACTTGAGATACCGCCCATCAGGATACCATTATCACAGCCCATTGCTAACAAGGTGCATGAGCCAACTCGAAGCTCAACAACTGAGGACCTGGTTTTACAATGTGTTGGTCTCTGCCTATAACGCATCCTTAGAAATGAATACGGGAACCTTATTGATGCAAAACCGGATGAGATTCATACCGGAATGCAGCTGCGCAATCCACGTCTTGCTAACCTGACACCTGGTGCAGCTCTCAACGCTCTCAAGTCAGAGCTGAAGGCATATGCCAAGAAGTGCAATCCATTCTCACATGCACTGCGTGAAGGAATGTCCGTGTGTAGTTGGTGGGTGAAGATGCAGCAGAATGATGATGCTCACGTACTAGGGGTAAGCGAGGCATCTGCTCGGATGCCAGCTACCGCTCATGCTATAGCAGGCACTCGCAATCAAGCTCTATTCAGTAGTCCCCAACTCAATGGCAGATGAGAGGACTATGTTGACAATCACATGGCTCAATTCATCACGTTGTTCGAAACAGAATGTTCGGACTACATTAAGATCAGACAGTGGTATCACTGGGACCCCCAGGTGCGTCAATGAACATAGTCAAACTAATACATTAACATGAACACTATATCATTGTAGTCAACAAAGAAGGCACTGACTGTTAGCTGGCACAATATGGACGAGACCATTTGTGCCCCTAGCTGGCATGCCAAACAAGCACAAGACAGCGAATGTGGGCCCGACATACCATCCTCTCCCATCTCTGCAGACCTCCTCGAGGATGTTCCCAACTACAAGGATGAACGTCGAGACAAGTTTGTAGTCTCTGACCTCGTCAACCTCAATGCACTATTTTTGAAGGAGATTCTTGCCAACAAGTGTCCCGAAGTACCGCGTCCAAGGGACAAGGTTAGAGTAAAACATGTGTCGAAAGCGAGCAGTAGTGATGGATCATTGGACTGGGATAAATGGTAGTGATCGTGTGCTGTCGAGGTGTTTGTGTGGACAATTTTACAGTCGAATAAAGGCTACATTAGTTGTTGGACGTGCTTGTCAGCCTATGTTCTATACTGGCTAATTAGCCATAAATTACCTAGGTTAAATTGACCTCTCGCATAGGCCTGGGCTAATTAGCCGGTTAAGTAGGTCGCTGTACCTATTTCACCATACCCTATAGTGCGGGCAACCTAGAGGCCACCTGTTTTGTGCAAACTTTCTGTGGCATTCAAATTTCCCCCAGATACTTATCCCTTTAGTAGAAATGCCCTAAATCATGCTAGGACCAATCCTACTAAATGGATTTTCATGAAAGTCGAAATTGCCCAAGATGGTCACTTGAAATTGGCCACATCACGTGCACATCACATGCACATGTCTATACTCAGTAAGTATTACATAATATGCTTCCTAAAGCGGTATCTAAGCATCAAAAAGATGTGTATTGTCTGGAGCTGAACTGATTCACCAGTTACTGTGTGTCTCAAGCTCTGATCAACAGGCATATATTCATCCACCACACTGAATGGTGTTCCTGATGATGGATGGTCTCGGTGTCGACAGAAGCACAAACTTACAATAAGTTAGCCTCAAGGGCTTGCAATATATAATGATAGTTCTGTTGAATTTTGGGATCTGCGGCCGACGGGCAAGCCGCTGCGCTCGTTAACCGGTACCCGGTCAGGAACAATGTAGACTAGAATTCCTGTATTTAAGTAGTGTGCCATTATTGAAGCACCCTGCACGTTTGCTACGTGGGCTTCCTACTCCCCGGAATGGCTCGTTTGACGACATCTGAACAGCTTGTTCCAACAAGTTCTCATGCAAGTATTGCTTCATTGCACCCCAGAACAACTCAATACAATTGAGCTTGAAATGGTATTTTGGCAATAAAATGCACAACATGTCTCTTGACTTGAGTCTCATCGAGCTGAAGGTTCTTCTAACAAAATGATTTGTGGTCAAACACAGCTGTGGCACTGCTGTATCCCGATAAGTAAGTAGTATGCTATACTCTATACAATATATTACCCCATGGCCACGGGCGCTTAGTGGTGAACAACTGCCCAACCGATTTGGCCACTGCACATTTTAGGTGGTGACTAAGCAGTGTGCACCATAGCATTTGAGTAGGGGCAACGCTCAGCCAATTTAAACTCTGATGTGTCTGCATGTGGCACGCTTGCCGCGTCTCGCAAAGTGGGCGCAAAATGAGGTGCACTTTTCTCTGGTTCCTCATACTCCAAATATTCTGGTCAGCCATCCGTAAATCATGTAAAATCGCTATTGAGAAAGTCTTCTGGATAGAATCTTCCAAATTATCCTTCCAGGGGCTTATTTTCTGTAGCTGTAAAATAGATATGTTTGAAAAAAATCCATCCTGAAGACTTTCTTGAGTGGGTCCCCGAGCTGCTTGTGACACCTTTTCCGCGATGTTCGGAGTGCAGCGAGACGTCGGAAAGTGCACCTCATTGTGAGAGCACGACACGTGTTACGTAAGCAGGTCGCGCACGCCTCAACATGCTCAGCAATAGTACCCTCCATGCTCCCTCTCTTCTAGATGGACCGGAATGTGTTTTGATAGCTTCACCTTGGTCTACGGCTGTGTATGGGTCACTATCTACTAGGGTTTGTCTCTAATCCACGGAGCAAGGCTCAGGACCAAGTAGATTATGTTCAACCACTTGGTGCTGCTGCATCTTCTGCAAGGCGCAGAGTCCGATACTCATCGACATCTTCTGGCAGCACCCCTCCCTAACACAATACTTATCAAATGCTCAGGCAATTGTACCTCAGTCCTTTGGAAGAACAGCCCAACATGTTGTCTAAGCTCAAGCATAATGGAAGTGGGTGTCTTGGAGGAACTTGCAGAACATGTTAGATGGCGTGAAGTGGTCTCTCAGGAGTGTTGAATGGTAAAGAGACAAGGCTCAGAAGAGTAAGAAACCCTTCAGGTGCGTAGTACTACTTCTTGCTTCTCATCAGTAAACTGACCCGAAGATGGGCAACACTCAGTCAATTGGAGGGCTGATTAAAATTCTATAGACCGATCATCGACTCCAGCTACAGTAGCGCACCTCAGAGAGGTCGATCTCTCGCATGAACATCTCGTACATAGCCTACGCTCCCCCACTGCAGATGGCTCATTCCATGCCTGACCTAATTGCTCATCGCACACACTGTAAATAGCTCTATAACAGTGCATATACACTCCTTATGTACATGACAAACTACACAAATATCATCCTGATTTTATGGCCACTGTACCAGTAGCCAGGGCACGACAAGCATGTCGCGTCCGCTTTTTCCGCGCGTCCAGGTCACGTGACAGGGGACGCTTTTCGAATAGGCGTTGCCCCTACTCATAGCGTTTTGAGACGCGTCATGCTTCGGCGCTAACTGGGCTCGGCATGATCGCTTTTGTCATTTATGTATTCTTCGGTACTTAAACCTTAGATGCCCTCCATTTCTCCGTCTATCGCTCAGCCGGGTCAGCTGCGATATGACTGGATTTCTCTGACAGGTCTCGCGAGACTGCGCAGCCTCATTCAACGCTCGCCGCTACAATACAATCCGCATTACTTTCAGCTTCAAACTTGTGCGTATATCCTCTGATACAAATTCCATGGCCGCCAAGAAATGGAAAACCTCGCCACCACATTTGCAGCGCTAGATGATGTCCATGTGGCCTGTAGACTGCGAATATTCTCCTGCCGCTTGTCTAATCTCCGATGGGCTCAGGGGCGGAAGGGGACTATTTCCCACGTCGCGAAGCCTTGCTGAAACATAAAGTGTGTCATCAAGCAGTCTCTGCCTTTCGAACTCCTTCTCTTTGCGGTGACGATGTCTCTGACCAAGATCCCCGCCATTGTGGCCGCAACACTCGGTGCTTACACGACCGTTAACCCACCTCAGCCCCAGGTGCCTCCAGCTGAGCGTCCTCAGACTGTCGGAACCTATGAACAGATTTTCTCCTCGACTTCAAAAGTCCATGCTCAGGTTTTGAGAGTAAATCAGTTTCCTTCCAACTGCCGACTATGAGCTAATCTCGTTGCGCCTCACTATAGTACTCCCTCTGTTCCGCCGGCCTGTTGGAGATTGCAGTCATCCTTGCCCGCAACTATCCCTCTCACCCCTTCTCGCAGCAAATTCTTCGCGTGCTCGTGCGAGGGTCTGCGATACTCGCCAGCAGGGCTCGCTTCACCCGCAGTTTTGTGGTAGGCTGCGCTCTCGCGACGCTGGGCGGTCTCCTCCGCATGTACTGCTACCGTACTCTCGGCCGCTTCTTCACTTTCGAGGTTTCTATTCGAGACAACCATCGTCTCGTCACTGAGGGCCCATATGCGTATGTCCGGCACCCCAGCTACACAGCCTGGATTGCTACCATGATCGGGCTGGGAATCTGCCACGGGTGTCCTGGCTCCTGGATGAGGGAGTCCGGTCTTTTGGACACTGTGGCTGGCAAGACAGTCATGGGGCTATATGCCTTGTCCATCTCATCTGTCACGATCGGCTTTTTGCGGCGCGCCCCACTGGAAGATGCCCTCTTGAAGCGCGAATTCGGGAAGGAATGGGAGCAGTGGTCGAAACGGGTGCCGTACAGGATGATACCTTTCGTCTGGTAGAGCTGTTGAGGTACGTGCAGTAACATATTTCAGTGTTAAGGGTCAACAGCTCACATCGCAATCGCAGAAAGCTCAGCACACTACTCGCGAGGGTTTCACGAAAGGCTATCCGAAATAAAATTGACAGGCTGAGCCGAAGCCCTCGGCATCGGTTGACTCTATCCCTCTCTCACAGTATGTACGAACGTGTCCGACCTGAACTGCCAGGGTTTCTGTTATAAGTGGGATTATTTGTCAGTATGCACACGAGACTGTAATTGATAATCCTCGCAGTACAGATCATGTATCTTGCATTGTGCTTCATTGCTAATCGGCACTAATAGCTTCATACCCGTCATCCAAATCTCAGCCGAATCTAAGACCGCTGTTGCGCTCTGCGCCCGATCTGGCTGATTCCATATCATCAGACATACCAGATAACGTTTGCACGCAAGCGGGGTTGATGCGGAATTCGGCATGGTATCGTCACAGCCACAGTTTACCAAAGTAAACAGCTATCTCCATGGCCCGCTGATTGTCGCCGGAGGTACGCTTGCGCACACATTGAGTTCCATCTACAGGTTTGATGATATGGAAGCCGCAGTCCAGGAATTTAACTGTGATATTAAGTTTTCAGCGCTCATCATGGCCGTGTGTGAACTACATATCGCTACTCGATCCCATGATGCCTGCCGTATCTTAGAAGGAAGATACTGTCCGGCGATGAAACGCCCGTCGCTATTCAGCGATGGGCTGTGCTATCGACCGACATTTCGAAGCGAGCCGATGAAGGCGAAATTATTTGTCACAGCCTGCGTCTGGCATGCACTCCGAGGCAAGTATAATGCAGCTCTGGCCCTGTCGCCCTGATATGACCCAGACATGTACTGAGGGCGTCCGACAGGTATGCGTACACAATCGTGACTATCATAGTGACCACTAGTCTCACACTAGTCTCATGATATCTGAGCGCGTGCCGAGCATGGAGAAGAAATTAGCGCTGCGCATCCGGACTATGACCTCCTGGTTTGATCATCGACCCGATATCACAATGTCCCGTAGGGCAGACAACAGCATTATCTCTACAGTCCCATCAGTCAGAAACGGCGCATATAATGATAATATGTCCACTTACACTATGAGTAGACGGTCACCATACGAATGGTATCAGCCTGTACGGTACTCTCTCAGCCCACTGCTCCCATTGCTCGCCGAACTCCTTTCTCAGCAAAGTATCTTCCAAGGGAGCCCGCCTTAGGAAGGCAACCGTCACCGGCAGCGCATATGCAGCGTAGAGGGCAACCAGAGCTAATCCGCCTGGTGTATCCAGGATCCTGCACTCCCTCATCCAGGACCCGCTGCTTCCGTGGCACACGCTGAGCCCGACGAGGCAGAACAACAATGCCGTATAGCTTGGATGTCGTACATATGCATACGGGCCGTCCGTAATAAGCCGGTGCTGAGGCCTTATAGCGACTTCGTACGTGAAGAAACGACTTAGCGTCTTGTAGCACCGAAAGCGAATTAACGTGCTGACGACGGTGAGGGCGCAGCCAACTAGGAACAGAGGAGAGGCGCGAAGCCCGTCTGCAGCGGTCGCTGTACCTTGAGCAAGCAAACCCAATATCAGCCATGTGCCTGGCGAATCGGGGTATTCCTTTGCAACTGCCACGGAGAGCTCAATTATGAAGACCGCTGTTATGAGCAGCTATGCCATCGCATGGTTAGACCAATGTATAAACTGCTGTACTGAGCCCTACCTTCATGCTCTGACAACGTATTCGGGAAGTTGCTGAGAATAATCTCTCATATCTTCCAACGTTTGAGGGACGTGATATGGCTTGAACCTGCGGCTGAGGAGCTGTAACGGAGACATATGTGCACGCAGTGCTAATAGCCAGCAAAGATATTCTCAATAGAGCCATTGAGTGCGTGGTAAAGAATTGGGAGCCTGAACAACCATTTTGTTCATGCAGCGAGCTTTATATAGATCCGCATCGAGCGCAGAGTACCCGGCAAGTTGTCGGCCATTTCAATCGGCATGAAGTACTGAGTAGGTACATTCAAAATTGCCGCTTAAACCTCGCTGGAAAACAAGCGACATTTAAACGGCCAAAAGCAGCGAGCAGAATCTGAACTCCCCTCGAGAATAAGCGACAAATAAGCGACTGCTCGTCGCAAGCGCTCGCAGATTCTGGCTTACGGCCATGTCACGCTTGCATGATTCGCCAACCTGATTGGCTGGTCAGCCCTTCGCGAGTCGAAAACGTGATCAAATCACGGCTGCATCACGCTTAGTCATTCGTGACGCTTTCAGCGACGTTTCAGCGACCTTCAGCCACATTTGGGCGCTCAATAGCAGCGAAAAGTCGCTTCCTTTCCAGCGAGATTTAAGCGGCAATTTTGAATGTACCTAGTATTGAGTCGTATCGCTTACCGTGGGCGCCTTCTCAACGTCGGCAAGATAAGCAGTGACGCGAGCCTCTCTAAATTTTCCTTACGCGTTTGACAGCGCTCAGACAGACGCGATATATCTTTGTCGATCGTTCTCGCTTCGGGACTCGGACAAACTTCAACACACTCACTGTAGAAGCTTTGAGTATTGAGCACATCGCGCCAGACGGCTCAGCGAAGTGTTCAGATAGAGTTTGTTTAAGGAGCAATCAAAAAACACTGCAGGTGAATTTTGACGTTGAAGGTATGCGAAAGTAGTAGAGACCGTAAAAATTGGGCATGCGGCAGTCCTGCTTGTACTGGAAAGCGAGCTTCTACTTGATACACGATAGGTCATGGTACAAAGCTGAATGCGATGTAAGTGACTGAGTAAACTGGGAGGCTTGATGATGCGAAAGATCGATTGACAATTGAAGCTTGCAGTACTTATGATGCGATGCGAGATAATGCATAGGGGGGTTTCCAATTTTTCAAGGACTGACTCGTGTAGAGTCTGCGAGGTACTACAAAAATGCCAAATACGATGGCATGTGCTTATTACAATCCCAGGTTCCGACAAGTGCACGTTCTATCCGAGTGGGCGCCAAGGCGAGCAGTCGTTTATCTTGCAATAAATGTCGTCTGAAACTATTAAGGTGATGGTAAGACGCAAGCTTTTTAGACATAAGGCGGTGTGTGTGAGCGGTCACCTCTTCGTTTACCGTTTGGGGGACTATCAACATGCATGTAGAGTATTTGGAGCAGGTGCAGCTTGTTGCCTAGAGTTGTACGTATACACACGTGTCCTATTCGAGCAGTATAGTCCGCGCCGTGAAACGGACAGCCGATTAGCTGTTCTAGGTCCCTGAACACAGTTTAGCATGTCTAATGCTATACGAAGAAATTGCAGCACAGTGCTCGGGGATCGTAGTTTGTCATGACTCCCGAGAATACTTGAAAGAAGCACGCAGGGCTCCTCCTGCATGAGTCACGTACACTGGCGCCCACCTTACAGTATCAGTAGTAAATCCTCCACATTGCTGAGGTGGTAGATTGCCACGTACTTAACCACTCCTGCCGTATGGTAACGTCTTAATCACATATGTCTTGACATGCGAGTGAGTGCGGAAAGCACCATGCACCATCGATCCGACGCCGTATGATCGATTCAGATATCAGATTTATGTATCCTGACCTACTATATATATATGTATGCAAGCCTTTTATCCCTGCTTGGGCCTATGCAAGCATATTCCGTCCATCATTCTCTACGGAGATCAGGGTATATGCCGCACTGTTTGTCCCAGGTGACGGGGTGCGGCCGCATCCCATAACAGCTCTTCTTCAGATAACTTGACCTACACTACGATATACGCAGGCTCAGACGTACAAGAGTTCATGCTTTTGGCCGCGAGCTGAAGCAAGACCTCATGGAGAGCAGAATCGAAGACCCAGCAGACCGCACTCGGCCTATCGATGCGGCCTCTTTCGAAGGTTGAGCGGCGCTTGCCTCGACAGAGCCTTCACAATTGTCAGCAATGCCTCTGCCAGGTGTCTTGGTGTGGGAAGTGTTGGGTATTGACACTGGCGAATGATCAATACCCATGACCTCTTTTGCGAGGAAAACATGGTAAATATCTGCATAATAAGAATGCACAGAAGCATCAGCATTCTGACCTATCATAATGATACCGCGTAAATACCGATCAGGAGTTTTCGAAAGATGGACTCGACATTTGAGCCGTTCAGCGCAGATGCCTCCGCAAATAGTAGGCCGTTCTTCTCTATCGACATAAATGAGTATCAAGTCTGAAAGTTTGCACACACTCCGCACTTACCCGCAAAGTCCTGCGCTCGATCTGCTGGCACAACACGTTCGTCGACTAAATCACTTTTGTTCCCAACAAGAACGATTATGGTATCTGGTTGTATGTAGGTGCGCAGTTGTTCGAGCTCGCGCTCAACCTCCAAAAACCCGAAGTTAGTGGTGGATATATCATACACCAAGAGCACCCCGTGGGTATCTTGGAAACACCTATCTCTCGCATGAAGACAGCCATTATAGAACCTTGGTACATGTTACTCACCCGTGTGCATGTCTACCCATTTGCAAAGCAGCTGGAGAACGCTAGATTCAGCATGGTTCTGGCCCTTCCTCGTAGCATCAATTATCGTGGAGCGACCCTCACACCACGAGTGAAAGATAAACATGGCCAAGCAAAAACTGTCACCTACCAGTGTCCCAGACGTCTGCTTTGACCGCCGCATCCTCGATGTTGATTGTCCGCGTCATAACATTTGCGGAGCTGGTTGGCCGTGCCTCGGTGGTGAATTCATTCTTTACAAACCGCGATGCCACTACGTGGGAGGTATAAGAAATAAGTACCTGGCCATATGACCTGCAGACTGCCGACGCACGATTCCTGGGGGGAGAAGAAAATCAGGAGTGTGACAATGTATTCAACACAAGCTTTGCAGGTGACTCACGTCTTTCCGACACCGTTCGCTCCCGCAAGAGCGACCTAATATATGTGAAGATCGAGTGTGTGGCAGAAGTTCAAGCCGCGTCATCATACCTTGATGATGTAATCGAAGTGGTCCTGATGCGGTTGGCTGGTCAATATGCTCGTAGCTGATAAAGTGCGTTTAGGGGTTAATTTTATATGTGATAGATAGCACCGTCTGTGTACATACCATTGCCCTTCCTATCTTGTATCTCAATCTGATAGGCATTGTCCTCCTTAGTCCTTGTTTTTGGTTCGTGTAGTATGAATGTGCGTACCGGCTCATTCACTGACTCGATTGTAGGCTGCCTGGGCACATTGGAAGTAGCGGGATGAATGGCTAGGGGGATAAACCCATCAGATTGAGGCCTATTGCGCCGGTCCCATTGACATACCAGTCAGAAGCATCAGGAAAGTAGACTCTACATTTACTCTGTCCAATGCCGATGTTTCCATAAATAAGAGTCCGTTATCCACTATTGGCTAGCATCAGACAATGATCAAACATGAATTGCATTTACCAATGACACACTTGAGAATGCTTGACCCTCATCCATTGATACTGCACGCCTATGATGCAAATCGGTCTTGTTGCCCACAAGCATAATAAGAGTGCCAGGTTGCGCGCTCTTGCGTACTTCCTCCAACCACTTCGGAATGTTCTGGAATGTGTTGCGATTGGACACATCGTATACCAACAGTACTCCCGAAGCAGAGCGACAAAATCTGAGAAATAATCAATACAGCAAGCCCCGATAGAGACATTAGATCCTACTTGGTCATAAGCATGGGGTCCTCATCTTGGCCACCTGAGACATAGCTATTTCAGCATCGCTTGATTCACGAAGCGAAGAAGCAGAGAAAATGTATATTCCAGTGCATCATATAAAGGGATGTGCGGAAGAAACGAGACAAGGAAACGGCACATACTAAGATCCCATAGATGCGCTAGTATCTGCTCTCCTGCAATTTCGACCGGCTTGCTTTCTTGATTCATGGAAAGCGTTGGTCTTATGGCGAGGCAAAACTCATCGCACGAGAAACGTGATATCACTATGAAGTGTCAACACTGTTGAAAATCGTAACAGGGATCCCACGCACAGTTTCTTTGATTACCAATTCGGCGTAATTCGTAGGCTTCAGCGACATAAGAGGCACACAAATTTAAACAACGTACGTTTTGCCGACGCTTGAGTCCCCAACAACAAGGATCTGGTAATCATGTATTAACCAATCACATAGTTGAGGTAAGTGATTAAACACCAAAGCCCTACCCGAGAGTGACGCTCAAAATGCTTGATTCTCCGTGTCTTGAATGTCGGTTTGGATATAGCTTGATAAACATCTGCGGACATAGAACACTGAGCTACACAGCTGAGCAAGATGTGCGGTATGGCCGTACCGGTGAAAAGCGTATGAAAAGTGTTTTCAACATTCGTGGCGTCTGCCGCTGAAGTCTCCATGAATCTCAGGCCGTTCCCCGCTATTGAAGTTCAATCCCAATTTAGTACTTATATACCTTATTCGCAAGACGCACCAGCGAACGCCTCTCCCTCCCGTGTCGAAACTCGGCGTTTGTCCACCAAGTCCGTCTTGGTTCCAACTAGCATGATGACCGCGTCGCTATCTGCATGATCCCGTACCTCCTTGAGCCACGTTTGCATGTGCTCAAACGTCCTGCGATTAGAGATGTCGTAGACTAGTAAAGCCCCAACAGCGCATGCAATATTTCTGGTTAACGGTAAGTCAGACATAGCATTCACTAATAGTAAAATCTCGAGCGGAAGCTTCGTACGGCGCAGCGCTGCAGTCCGCAGGAGCGGAAGGGAAGAAAATTGACGCGGTACAACTCACGTAGCAGGTCGTGCATCATAAGTATCAGTTCGTCCGGCTGAGATTATGAGTCATGAGCATTCTGTTCTTGCCTCGCCCGGCCGAATTTCAAACTCACCTATGTCATATATCCACGTCTTCAGTACATTCCCGTCAATTGGCATGGAGTACATCTCGACACTGATACCATACGTCTTGCGCGGCTGCGAATCGAAGACATTCCGGGTGAAACGCGCGAGCACTACAATATCGTAGCAGGCATACGCGTCTTGAATGATGCCACCGGTGCGAGAAAGAGAAAAGGTACATACGATCGCTGAGAAATCCGGCAGAGTCAGATGCGTCAGTAATACGCACAAGAAAGCTTTAGGAAGACATACGACTTTCCGACACCGGGGTCTCCAACGAGGATAATCTTTGTGCGAACTCGCAGCCTGTACATCCCCTGATCCCGAAGAGGGACGCACCTTATGGTTACAGTTGAGATTATTGTACGATCCGAGTAGTTCGGAGATGTGTTGCGTTGCCATTTCAAGCTTTTGAAGCACCCACTACGCAATGCAAGATTGTGGCGTTAACAGGCTAAAGTCGCTGCTAAAACAAAGCGATTATCAGCTTGGGCAGTGTGAAAGCACTAGATTTAATGGCGGTTCTGCGTGAAATATGTGCTACGATATAGGTAGCGAGTGGCAGCGTCTGCCATCTAGCTGGTGGTGGTGAACGCGAAAAGAGAACAGTGGGAACGCAGCGGAGAACCAAACTGACCAACAATGGGCGCTCGCTTAGTCCCATTTAGGAAGGCATCCTTCCTGTTTGAGCGACACAAACAGGTTGTTACACCGAGGATCTACCAGGTCGTCGGGCAAACACGGTTCACTTGATTGGTCGTTATACAATCGAATATGCGCCAAGCGTTTCTTCTAGCTGCACTTGCTTCAATCTTCGTGGCCACGAAGAAACCCATTTTATTTGACCGCGGTTCGTAACACCACAAACCACATAATACAAAAACGGCTTTATGATACCTGTAGCTCGCGCGCTTCATTTGAATCTTGGCTGAACAACGATCTTCTGCTATCGCAAGCGGCTGACACGAAAGCCGCGCTCTGCAAGGTCGACTGCAGCCTGCGGCTGACTGTCAGCCGCAATGTCCGCCTCTTCGATATATATACGCCGGCTCTCCTTCGACAGTCCTTAGTCTCCTTCCCCCACAATCCCGCGTCGCGGCGGACACCCACGCTCATTCCAGCATCCCACCTACACACGGCCCTGCCGCCTTCCGCTCCTTTAAGCACCAAGCACGCAAGTCCGCCATGCGCACCTTCAAGCTTTCCGCCGTCCTTGCCGCTCTCCTCGCCGCGCCCGCCCTTGTTGGCGCCGTTCTGCCCATCCCGCACACGTCTGCACCTACGCGCACCAATAGGACCATGGCGCCCAACCCTGCTACCGGCGACCTCTCTACGCTCGCGCTTGCGCAGCGTGTGCCTATGACGAACGCACAACGTCTCGCGCGGGGTCTCGCGCCAAACCGCCCGCGCTTCAACCATGCAGGTGCGTCCGTTCCGCGCTCTTCTCCGTCTCGACTGACATGCAGGATCTTCGCAGCCCGCCGAGGCCTCGCCCCACGCGCGTCAGCCGCCCCCGACCCGAATCCTTGTCCTACCATGACTGGCACTATCCGTGTCGCAGGCGCGGGGACCAGCGCCAGCACCTTCGTTTCGCGCGTCCCTAACGTGTTCGGCGAGTATGGCGTCACGACTGACGCTGCCAACGCACTGCTCGTGCAGTACGCGAACTGCGCGGGCGCCGCATCGGCGGACCTTGTTACGCTCGTGAGTATCCCCCTCTTTGTGCAGTGCGGCTGACTGACAAGTGATGCGCGTATACGTGGTGCAGAACGGCATTGCGGACTTTACGCACCTCGGCGGCATCACTGGCTTCTCGAGCCCATCGGGCGACCTCGGGCCCGGCTCGAGCATGTACGCGTACCTCGGCGGGACGTCGCAAAGTAAGCCGGTCCCGTCTCATCCAGCACGTCGTGCTGAGTCCTCTGCCCCAGCGGCCCCCGGTGCCACCCCGCAGGCCGTCCCGAACTCGTTCACGTTCACAACCGGCATACAGGAAGATGTCGAAAGCGCAATTTGGACTTTGGACCGCACAACGGGCGTCCTCAGCGCGCACTGGTCGAACACCGACCGCAGTAAGACAGCCTCTTCGTGGAGATTTGCGAGACATTGACGCGCTCGTCGATAGGCACTCCCGCGACAAGCATCGTGTACTATGCGCCGGAGAACTTCCTGCTCCTCACGGGCAATCCCGCAGCGTTCAGGACGACATACGGCGCAGGCTCCGTTGTGGTGCGTCCTCACATGCCCCTCTTTATGCGCGAGTTGTTGACGAACCTACGATCACAGACACTCACCTTTGTCGAAGCATAATCCGCGCCTACGTAGGCGCGCTCCAGATCGCATGCTCTTTAGGGTCTGGAATGAGTTAGCATTCAACATCGCCGCCGTGCGTAGATATTGCGTTAATGTTGCCGTACTCGTGGTCTGCCCTGTGTACTTCTTCATTTGAGGAATATGATGATTCTCAGGGTACATTCTGTGACCATACCAAAGCCTGTGATCACAGTGTGCATTGTTCCGCTTCTCCGACAAGGACGAAAGTAGAATGCTCACCAGCAGATGACACAAGGCTGTACGTTCCAGTGTAGATACCCCCGCCCTTTGCGATGAACTGCACAGAATGATATACTTAGAGTTTGTCACTGATGTAACATCCAAATCTCTGTCAAAATATAAGGCTGAAGAAGAAATGCGAGTTGCAATTGTCATTGAAGTCGTGAGAGGCTCAACAAGGACGATAGCGCCGGTCTCAACCTGCGTCAACGAGCGCCAACATCCTTCCCACGCCTGTCCTCTCTGAGACACGGGCTTGCACCTCATCCTTTCAAACTAACTCGGTTGCAACAGTTTGGTGTTTTCTCTGCGCGGTACCTATTTCTACGCGTACTATCCTTGGACTCGACAGTCTGGTATAATCCCCAGACAAAGATTAAAAGCGTATGGAACGGTCATATTGTGTCATCCGTCCGAGATACTATGTCCGGCTGTTGTAAGAGCTTGAGCGGCGAAAACGTAGACCAGGACCAAATATTCAAATTGAAATTACGTTACGTGCGTATCAATTTTCGTACTGGCCTGCGCGGATAGGGCTTCTGCAGAACTGCCTACTTTCTTAAGTAACCAGGGAAAGCGACCTGGGTCTGCCAACACAGCCCTGCATCCGCGTTACGCGATGGTTGTGTACGGCCGTTCGCGCAAAGTGTACAAAGTCATCCAAGACAAGAGATCATAAAAACTGCTTCTGTATGGGCGAAACATCTATGATGATCATCCCCATCAAAATCCATCGAGTATTGTTGTCGCGATGAGCCACAGGCGTGCTTCCCTGAGCGAATGCAATGATATAGCCAAAAACTTAAAACATTTTTACTCTGACAGATTGTGTTGAGTTGATGTAAGGTGCGATGTCTATCAAATTTGACCGAAAGCCGGAATAGCTGCTCACTGGCACCTCCACAGTTGTGTTGTTTGTGAACCCCTCCGCTCCGCGAAGCCTCTCGTGCGAGAAATGGATGTCATTACACTTGGTATTTATTAGGTTGGCCTGGGAAATCTCCGACCCGCAGTCGGGAGCAATCATGCCGCAACGAAGGTAAGTGTCTGTGGATGTAACCCCAATGAGCACGCAATTTGCTGCATGACAATGCACGGCAACGCACCACAACGGGGCTTGTGCCGAACGACGCGCCGAAGATGGTGGGATCACCCGTGATGACCAGGAAGTTTTCGGGCGAGTACACGATAATCGTCTCAGGCTTGCCTGTCCGAGCGTCAGTACTTACTACTCAATGAAAAACGAACAAGAAGCCGCGGACGTACTGCCATCGATGTTCACCCACTGCGCACTAAGCGCGCCCGTAGTGCGGTTAAGCGTCCACAACGCGCTCTCCGCCTCTTCTTGGTCGCCGGTGGCGGCCATGAACGAGTTCGAGACGGCCTGTGGAGTGGCACCGGGAGCCGCTGTGGAAACGCTCAGCCGAAAGCGGACCGCAGATGACAAACTTCTTACTTTGATCCGTGCCGCCGATATACGCGTACGCGGACGAGCCCCTTCTTAGGTCTTGGAGCGCGGTCGCGAAGCCCGTGATGGCGCCAAGGTACGGCACATCCGCAATTCCATTCTGCATGCGCATGTCAGTCAACCAATTGATCACTCGGTCAGTCAGTAGTACCGTCGGTCTCGCCGACGATGCGCTCTCATACTCACGAGCGTCGCGAGATCGATCACACTGGCGTCCGCGCAGTCCGTGTATTGCACGATGAGCGCATCAGCCGTGTCAGTGGTGACAGCGTACTCGCCAAATGCATTCGGGACGCGCGAGATGAACGCAGGGGTGCCCGTACCGGCACCCGTAACCTGGATGGTGCCTGTGACCGCAGGGCAGGGCGTCGGGTCGGGCGTGGCGGACGCACGTGGAGCGAGATTCCCGCGCGCTGTGGTGATCAGCCCCCCAGGTCAGTCTCAGAGACGAGGGAAAGAAAAGGGGGAAGGACGCACCGGCACGGTTGAAGCGCGGGCGGTTGGGCGTGAGGCCACGTGCAAGACGCTGTGCGTTCGTCAAGGGGGTTCTGTGCGCGAGCGCGAGCGGCGCGAGGCCCACAGCGGCAGGATTGGCTGCTGTCTCGCGCATGGAAGTGCGTGTAACGGGCACCCTGGCGCCGACGAGGGCAGGTGCGACGAGGAGTGCAGCGAACACGGCATAGAAATTGAAGGAGCACATATCTGAAGTCGGTACGCTTGATGCTTAAAGGAGCGGAAGGCGGTGACACCGGTGAGGTGTGGAAGGAGTGCGGGTCTCTACGCGCGAGGAAGTCGCAGGACAGGAGGTCGAGGAACGTCAACGCAGGATCGGACGGGATGGTCAGTATTTATGCCAGGAACGCTGACCCTGGTCCACACGACAGACGGTACCGACCTTCAAGAGGATGGTCCCGCGCCAAGGAAAACTTTGACAGTACAAACCACGGGTACTGAAGGCGCGACAGCCACCGACCTAGCGCACCGTTCCTTGGCAAGGGACCAAGATCCACGCAGTGTTCTATAACTGCCTACATAAACGATACCAATCCAATCTCGATGGATTCCATTGGGATCGGACAACGGTGCAGTGTGATTGACTCTGAGCGTACCCAGCCTAAGACCTTCCACACAGTTTGTACACATTGCATAGGGCGGGAGGTCAAATTAATGCTCTCCGCAAGAGCGCTCACAGAGCGTTGATCCGATAGTTTATGCGATCTCATGCACCATTTCATGGGCGATCAGGTACGCAGTCATCGATCGTCGCGCCCCCGCCCTGGGCCTGAGGCCAGAACGCCTGATGCCCTACGCTCTATTCCCCTGGCAGACTTCTTTACAGGGCACGAGATGGTTGGGAGGTAGATGAAGCTATTCGAAGTTAGCACGAGTTTGCCTTTCCTGGAATCGCGGTCAGCCACATCCTTGTTCAGACCCGAAAGACAAGGCTGCCAGGTAGTGGTATAAGGGATCACCGCATAGCGTTCTTGACTGCGGCGGGATGCTCCGTAAAAATTGGATGAATCTCGCGGGCAGGTTTCCTAAATAGGATCGATCGCGCTTCCAATGTCCCACGCCACCAGCGCGCGTTCCTTCCCGCCTCAGTGGTTCGTGTATATGCTTCCTCTGCGGTCCAGAGGATTCATACAGCATGTATTATATTCCAAACCGTCTCGAAGTACATAAGACTAGATTTGCAAAGGTTGCGCATATATCCCGTAAGTTCTGGATATAATGTGGGTGTCGCTCAAGTGTCTCGATTCTAACATTCCGCCAGGTCTAAAATGTTCAGCAATTGTGCGACCGACCGATATACTGATTTCTGATCTCAGAAGGTCTTCGTTGATGCCCAGCAAATAAAATACGAGTGCTGCGCACTTGTGGGGCCATGTTCGGGGATGTGAGTCGCCTCTTGCGTCGATATAACTATTCACCCCAGACACACGCATATCTATTGTCAATCCAGCAGTATAATAACCCTTCCTTCTGCAATCCTTCTTTTGTACAGATACACGATGTTCTCAGGTCAAAACACTCCACCTAACGCCTCAAGAATCTTCTCCCATCTGAAGGTGAAGGCGAAAGATAGACTCCGTGCGCTCTCCTTGCAAAACATGCTGCTTGCTAATTGGATATCATCTTTTTTTACCCAATGAAATGTCTAGGCCCCAGGTGGCAGTGTCAATCACAAGGTGCAAGGCCGGACATATTGTATTACCATTCTTTCATCTTCTCAATGCTAAAAAGCGAACACGATCCACGGAGGTCAGTCCCGGTGCGCTTGTTTCCTTCATTGTAGTCCACCCTCACGGACTACAGAGACGCAGTCATGGTTAGCCGGGCATTTCCATCGCCCGATGTGCATATGAGGAACGATTGGTTTCTAATCAGCGTGTATGTGTCCTGCTGAATACGTTCGTGGTTGTGGTGACCTACTGAATATGCGCGTATTTGTCAGATGTATATACTAGCTAGATATTGCATTAATTATCTATATCGTCTAATGCACACCAGAGCGACCTACTGCGGAGGTTGATTGATTCTGCCAATGTATTGACCTCTAGCTGCATCTACTGTGAGTCGTACTCCTTGTGCTGACGGGTGACCGGAATATAATGTCATAGTCTTATGCGACAATGTTTTGATAGGTCCCCATTTTGGACGTTCGCGAATGCGTCATGCCACGCGGGTACGTTGTGCCCCTGCGAGACGATGCCTGGCCGCCTGTCACTTAAGACCGATTGCGTGCGGTGTATATCGACCACCGATCTGGTGACTTTAAATGAAAGGTCGCGGGACCATCCTCTCGAGCGGTAAGTGGACTAACAGGGACGAGATATAGATCCTGTTGGACGTTGGACAAGTGTATCTAGCTGCGGAAAGGTTTCGGTCATACCTTTTTTCATTATGGGGAGCGAGGCACCGAAGCCCGATTCGAACTGATCCATGAATTGCTATGTCCAGATCATAGGTGATCTATTTCTACGTTGTACGTCATGGTGATCAAGGCATGAGTGTATCATAATATTATTAAACAAATAACGAGTGCTCCAGGTCATCCTCATCTACTCCCATGTCTTGTGTCGATTGTGAGTGCTGCACATCTTCGGCATCTTCTTGAGAAGCTGTAAGATCCACTTCGGGCGAGTGATAATCAACAGGTTGACCAAGGGGACCAATCACTTGGGATGCGAAGCCAAATGACGAAACAATTGGCAAGCTAGAGATGTCTGCATCTGGGTTCAGACGTACTTGTCGCAGATTGAGAAGGAGTCGGGACAGCAAAATTGTGTTCAGTCTATATAAAGATCATTATAATGGTTAGTAGGGAATACCCCAATTGATATCAAAACTTACACATCTGCTATTATTCCTACACTGTTCACAATGTTTGTGATAAGGAGAGAGATGCTGATACCATTGACTACCAGTATGGCACTGCAAACAACTTATGGCCACATGACTATTTTATGCAGTTCATGTTTATTCACCATATATGAAGCGAGCCTGAATAATCATTAACATCAAATGTTGATCGAGTCATGAAACCTACTTACCATCTCGTAACAAAAGCTTTGTGATTGGTAACCTTATGCTTGTTGTACTTGCTAATTTCCTTAATCCATTTGTTGCATACCATGTGCATAACAACACCAAGATGTCGGACACCATGATACATATGCGGGAAGCCATTGCCACTGTGTGTAAACAGTCGGAACAAAGTGTACTAACAATTATGAAAGAATGGGACAAACATCTAGAGGATTGAGACATATTTAGAACATCAATCATAATTATCCAGAATGGTTACCCACAAATATGGCAATGTAGAAGCTGTTTTGAAGTAAACCACACTAAAAAATGGTGCAGGAGCTGCAGAGTATGTAAGCTCTGTAGCTTCATACTGCAATGGTTATGAGCATCTGTAAGTTATCACGACCATCCCTTCTTGACCCCGTACCACCACTATCTCCGTGGGCGCTTGTCGCTCATCGGGCCCCAGTCTGCCATTTTTCTTTCCCATACCCTCCTGCCTTTGTCAAGATCATCTAACTTGGCCCTCACTGTCCCTATGGTCACATTGTCCAACTCGATCCGACAATCGGGACCGCCATCGACGGACTGCACCACCCGATCCTTTTCCCCCCTGCTAACCAACTCTGACATCTTCAATGTGCTCGTGGTGATAATCTACTGTGAGTGTAAGCCCCGGCGCTGGACCATACCCCGGCGACCACCACCCTGCAGCTCTGCATTTGCAAGAACAGCCCTCTGGGACGCGCGCAACGCCCGCAGCAGATATCTCACCCTTCGGAAGGGTAGGCATGCCTCTCGGCGTGTCGCCCACCACCCACCACCCACGAGGGGAAGGAACTTGCTGGCACGAGGGGAGGCCCCACGGTCCGGAGCGGCCGTGCGAGGCGGACGTGGCGATGCGGGCCTGAAGCTCTGTCAGTATGGGGTATGCTTGGACGCATGGGGGGCGGGAGGCGGGGTCCTTGGGGGACCTCGTGATTTGATTTCAGTATAGTGCCCTTCCTTCCACCGGCGCTCTCGCCGCGCCACTCGCAAGTGGCTCGTCGGGTTCTATTTGGATGTAACCAGCCCTGCCTTAGTGGGCTGTCGGCGGGATGGGGCACCTGGGTACTCGGGAGGCCGCCATATGTGCGGCAGCGCGAGCACTCCCCGTGGGTGGTTGTGGTGAGGGGTGGCGGAATCGGAGACTGCAGGATGCTGAGAGGGGGTGCTGAGGGCCTGTCTGACGTGCTTGTTATTACTCTGCATGTACCTTGCTGTACGGAGTCTAAACATCGCATTCAAAAAAGTGCGTGACAACGCGGTGACGCGACAGGTACTTCACACACGTGATCGCGTTTCTCTCGGATCAAGCGCTCATTAGGAGGAGGGTCTTCGCCTCGTTCCGCTCGTGCATACCAAGTACTTTTGACGCTTCCTGTTATTACCCTACTACTCGGTTTCCCTCTCCTCCTGGAACACAGAGGTCTGGTCAATGCCTCAAACACGCTCGACTGCTGCTGTTGGCCATGGACAAGCTCGCGACATCAAGCCCAGGGTCTTGGTCGCTTCAGTAGCAACTCCCGTCTCTTTCTCTGCGTTCTCTGCCGTACACCGAGCTGAACTTAAAGAAACATGGGAAATCCATCCGAGAATACCATCTCTTGCATCGCGCAAGGCGTGGGCAGAGGCTCGCGGCATCGACCCAGGGCAGGTGCACGCCTGGTTTTCGCGCCGGAAATACAGGGCAACCAAAAAAGGAGAACGAGTGCTAGATGGCGAGTACGATCTTCCTATCAGCCTTAAAGACCAGAAAACAAGCTCTTGCACGGGTACGAAACGCAAGCAGGCTGCCGTGAAGCGGGAACGTTCTCCGACCCCAACGCTCGACTATCCGAGAAGGAAACGCCAACGAGCGACACCTGCAGCTGATGCCGGATCGTCGTTTATATCCAAATCTACGCAGAAAAACGCTGGGTCTCAACCAAGTGATCCAGCTATGGAGGCGTCTGCTCACATACCGCATACTCGCGCTCACGACAAGAAGGCACACCCGTTGTGCCTCATATGCTCTGGGGTACAACTACCTTCTGTCTCAAGATTGCCTTCGTCAGGACCTGTGCTATCCCCGCCGAGCTCTTTCTACTCTGTGCCTGAACTCTCCTTTGATTTTCCTTCCTCTGACTTTGACTTTGACGGTCCATCCACTCCCAGAGGTCTCGAACATGACAATGACTCTGCTATAGTGCTTCCTATCGATGAGGTGAGCACTCCTCCTCTGCGCATTGATGTGCTCTCCTGAGTGGACGATGCGTAGAATATTGACGATGACGCATACACCCACTCGAGTGCCGCCAAGAACCAGAATCTTGACTATCTGAAGCAAATGCCTACCGCGCATACCCTCTCTGAGGATATTTCTTCACCGAAAGCTGTAACTTCGTATCTGCCTCCGCGTCAAAGGCGCAAACGTATTACGTTCGACGACAAGACTGGTCCTAAAGGTGGCTATGGCTCTTCTGGGTCTTCTGCTCCGCTGAACCCCTCTGTAACCAACTTTGGCCATGATGTGCCTACTGCCCCTGAAGAGTATTCTCATGTCCATGCGAAGAATCAGACAAAGCCTACGGCAGATCGCTATGGTGCTCGCCACGATGCTGCGTGCAGCAGTGTTTGTCATGAGTCTGCGTCTACGTCGTCGACTGTTTTCAATCTCTTATGGCCGTCTCATTCTCTCGGAGCGTCTTCTGCTACTGTAGTATCTAATGCCTCACAAAGGCCCTCAGTATCTTATCCCGCCCCCGCTCGTTCCGATTCTAGGTGTCAAAGTGTCCTCGTCACTCGCTCTCCTTCCACCTCTTGTCTGGTTGATGCTGCTCGTTTAAAATTCGGTGCTGATGCTGCGGCTGACTCTCGTGCTATATCTGTTGCAAAACGACCTCTTGCCCCTGCTGGCTATGGTGCTATACTGTGCAAGCGAACTCAGACCACTGACGACCATGGTACACTGCGCAACTCTGTTCTAGGCTCGAATCCTACATCGATACCTGCTGTTCTTAATGCAGAAACGAACAATACGAGGCTTAGAGAAAGTTCCACAGCACAAGGGTACCAGAGTGGGGCTCCAAACACCGCAACTATTAAGACTCAGAAGATTGTACGTGCGCGTCCACTAATTTAGGCACACTTCACTAATAGAGAGGACGGAGTAGAATGCGCCTCCCATGTCTGTAAAACGCGAAGACATCGAGGAGATTAATCTCCGCAGCAAAGGCGACAATTATGATAGTGATAGTGAGCCTCTCACCACGCTTGCCCTTTCTTTCCGCTTCGCTGCTAATGCTATGTCTCAGCACCGTTATTGCTGACTGCAGCGCGCCTGCAGTCATGGCGAAAGCTGGTTATTGCTACTGCGACCATGGAGATGACGCAGAAGGACAACAGGCGGAAGACTAAAGGCACCCAACCAACACGCGCTGCACAAGCGGGGGCTCCACCAACGAAGACGAAGGCCGCGAAAACAAAAGGCAAGGATAACCCGCCGATAAACACAGCGCACTTGCAAGAGGGTCCATCTTCAAGCGTGCATCCATCTACCTCGCAAGGTGTGTCCTTTGTTCGTCAACCGACTCCACGGCTCGATGATCTGGCCCTGTAGTTAGAGCGATCGCTGGCGAAGCCGGTCAAGGAGATGGTACGTCGTACCTAGCGTGAGGCATGGGGCCTTGCTGATATACAGGCGCGCCATCCAGAGGCTGTCACCGGCCTCTGTGAGCGCTTCGAGAGCCTCAGAGTCGGTCCGAAACGAAGAAGGAAGAAGACTTCGGGTGGCACCGCCAAGGCGGCGGTGAAGACGGAACCTCAACCGATGCCGCTCCCCGTGGCGACTGGCCAACCGGGTGGGTCTACGCGAATTATGTAATGTCCGTAATGCCTTTCGACTGATCCCTCACAATAGTGACAGCGAAGAAGCCCAAGAAAGGAAAAAGACAACAGGGGGTTACACAGAAATCGCAGGCGGTCGGGCAAGGTTTGCAGAAGGCCAAGATGCAAGTCGACAAGATGCGTGCAGGACATAAGGAGATTCGTAAGTATTCTCGATTACCCAAGACCGCGGGCGAGGGACAGTGGAGGACCAAGGCTATCGAACCCATCGACGTCTCGATAATCCCTGCACAAGTCGACCGCCGGCCAACTACTCCTTCACCCACTGCAAATGCGTCATCAAATATTATGTTCCGGAATTCGCCGTTCCGGCCTCCGCGTCCCTACACGTATTCGCAGGAGGCGCTCGCGGCCTTCAACGAGATTGTATGGATCGAGGACGGGTTCAACGCGATGGAACTCAGTGCGTTGGTCAAGCTGGCAGCGGGCTCGGCGCAGGATGAAGCTTCCAGCAAGCTGGTGACTCGCTCGTGTGGTGCCCAAGAGGGCCCATTTGGTCAGTGCGAGCTATTGACCCACCAATCTACCCCGTTACTCCCCCCGTGGGGTGAATGGTGGCTGACTCTGGATCCTCACAGCTCCGCCTGATCTGTCTCATTTGCAGGGGTTGGCCTGGCGGAACAACCCTGCAGTATACCTATACACTGACGTTGACATGCCGCAGGAAGTTAGGTCGCTGTTCGGGATTGAAGAGAAGGTGGCGATCGAGTGGATCGAGGCAAGTGACCGTGTCAATCGTGAAGTTGGGCTCGTGGTGTAAAGTCCCTTCGTATTGCGTACCATACGTATAAGTCATGTCATACACAATATGATCAAGACCCACATACATTTTTTCCCCAAAAGCGTCAAAGCGCCATTCCAGATTCTTGATATGGTTTCTCTGTTGACAACATAGTCCGACGGCTGTCTATACAATCAGCGGAGGCCACTTCTTGCACATAACCAGGGTCATCATGGACGCACCAGACCCTCGGAGCGCGCTGAGCTTCGATTACTCGACGAATCGATCAGTAACGGTAGCGTAAAGAGGTTTGGTACCGATGTCACTTGAAGACGCACTCTTTCCTGATACGGAAAGTGGCTTACCTGATCTGGCAGCTGGAGCGGCTTTACGTCGGATCGGACACGTTACAGCTCAACTTCGTGACTTCCGACCAGGTTCATCGAGTCGACAAGGTTCCGTGGTGCTATATCTTGATGTGAACTGTAATAAAAGAGGTTATGTTCAGCGGTGGACGTTTGTCTTTCTTTCCTCCCGACTCATTCCTCAAATTTCGCTGGCGACTGCAGGGATGCCTGCTCCAGGGACTAAGCTTCGTAACCCGGCCTTGGGCAGCTGTTGGGATCGTCTTAGGTATGGAAACATAAGCTGGTCTCTACTTGCCTTGCGATGTGTGAGTATGAAGTCATTTCACTTTACTACTCACGATGCTCTGGTCAACTTGACTAATGTTGATGTTCCGCCAGTGCCTTATCGTTCAAACTTTTCAAACCTTGCAACGCTGATAATCCTTAGGACACACAAAGCGCATGATGTCAAGTGGCTCAGTCATCAGCCCTTAAGTCATCGCGATTCATTCCTGCACGTCACGCTGGTGCGCAGGATGGCCTACCTCGTGGACATCAGCTTCGTCGGTATCCGAACGTCATCGTCAGCCGTAAGTTCCTCTTGTCCACACTGCCCCGAGCGGGGAAGATACCGCAGGCGGGGTGTGCAGGCCGCATGGTTCATGCGCGCTTCTTAGCCCGAGATGCTTCGTCGCGAAGCCCGTTGCTAACCGCGCCGCCATCACCGTGCAGTTGTGGAGCATCCATTCATCGTCGATATCAAAAACCCGAGCGCTCCTCACTGTCCCCCACGGTCAGTCTTCTCCGCCGCGCGCAGCTGCATATGGGCGAACAGCGCTGTCGCAGGCCGCCATGTGTGCATACCGCCAAGGCAGGTGTACGGCGCTGCCCACTACAGTCGACTCTCTACACCGCCTCGGTTTGCCGACGGTGTGAGGCGCACCAGAAGCGTGCTTTGATGCATGTGAGTGGCTCAATAACCTTATGCCTTCCTCGGGAGAAGGCTGAATGCGCAGCTCACACTTCCCGGCGGCGTGAACGTGCACGCGGTCGAGAAAATCTGGGACTGCATATAACCTGGCCCTCCGCTCCGGGAAAGCTCAACAGGTTCTTTCCTGCTCCAATCCACCTCTCTGTCATTTGTGGTGTTGCCAGCTATGTTTTGCAAAGCTTCTCTCCTCACTGTTGCGCTCGCTCTTCTCGCGTCTGCTTCCCCCGTGACGCGGGACACCGGCATCCGCATTCCCTTGCAGAAACGCTCCAACGTGACAAGGGCGGACGGCACCTTTGACTACGATGCTGCGGTTCGGCAGCGCGTCAAAATCCAGAAGTGTGTTTGCTACCGGATTTATCGGCTATCGACGAGGTCTGACTTTTCTGCAGCAAGCACCGATTGAACCTGATGGCGATCGACCGCAACATCGGCATCGAGAACTACAACACGGGGGCGCACATCCCGCCGATTGCTACCCTACCTGAGTCGCTGAGCCGCCGCGCGACCGGCTCTGAGTCGCTGACGGATCAAGACAGCAACGAGGAGTGGACCGGTACGGTGTCCATCGGCACGCCTGCGCAGAGCTTCACGATCGACTTCGACACGGGCTCGTCGGACTTGTGGGTGCCGTCGTCGTCGTGCAGCGGCTGCCAGGCGAAACATTCGTACGACCCGTCGTCGTCCTCCACTAGTAGCGAGCAGAGCGGCACGTTCCAGATTTCGTACGGCGACGGCTCCCAGGCATCTGGGCCCATCTTCACCGATACGGGTGAGTCAGTGACCTCCGGCTTCTATTCGGTTTCTCTGACAGTATGTGTGTTGTATAGTCAGCGTTTCGGGCGTCACTGTCACCGGACAGTACCTCTCTGCTGTGACGAGCGAGTCTGGAAACCTCGTCGGCGGTCCCAATGACGGCCTGATGGGCATGGCGTTCCCCGCCATCTCCCAGCTTGGACATGTACGTACCCCCATCCCAAACCCAAAGTCACGTGTTAACGCTTTCGTATAGAACCCCTTCTTCCAGAGCGCTGTGTCGGAGAAGGCAGTCGACTCTGGCGTGTTCGGCTTCAAGCTCTCGTCTAGCGGCGCGCAGCTAAACCTCGGCGGTACAGACTCGTCGTTGTATTCGGGGAGCATCGAGTACCACGACCTCGCGTCGACCGCGGGCTACTGGCAGATCGGCGGCGCCAGCGCGCTCGTGAACGGAAAGGCAGTGGTTTCGGACATCCAGACGATCATCGACAGCGGCACCACGCTCATGTACGGCCCGTCGGACCAGGTGAAGACGTTCTACTCCAGCATCAGTGGCGCACAGGAGTATGACACCCAGAACGGGCTGTGGAGCGTCCCGTGCGACTCGATACCCACCGTCGCATTCTCGTGGGGTGGGAACACCTGGCAGATCAGCTCCAGCGAGTGAGTGGGCCTTCGGCCATGAGATGTTAGTGGAGCGGGCTGACCTGTTTTTCAGCTTCAACCTTGGTCAGGCGAGCAACGGCGACTGCCAGGCTGCGTTGGGAAGCGCCGACCTCGGTTTCGGCGACGGTGTTTGGCTCCTTGGTGACACGTATGTGCTCTCGTACGGCCCAGCCCGCGTACACAGGTACTGATAGGTCTCTCACTGCAGGCTCATGATGAACGTCTATACCGCTTTCTCGACTGACCAAAATGCTGTCGGGTTTGCCTCTCTGTCCTGAGTACGATGCATGGGTGTTCAACGTCGAGGTTGAGATATCTGAGGTTGAGATGCCTCACTGCCCCTTGGAATGTATCTTTAACACCCTGGAGGCTTGTGTACTGACACTGTGCCCGAGCCGTGCATGTATTGTAACCCTCGTGTATCATTTGTCACCCCTTCTGGTCTGCATAATACTGGAATATATACCATGGAAACAACGCTCAGGATGCAGTATGTCTGCGACGTTATTGTGGACAGTGAGCATGAAGCAAGAAGTAATTGTGCGTCTCGGACTTAGCCGTAGGGCTTTATATTTCTTTGTTCGAGCCAACGCCAGTATTCGGGCGGCTGCCCCTGTTGTTTGCGAACTCCTGGTCCTCTCTTGTTGTAACGACCCGTTATCGTCTCACCCGTCACACTCACTTTCAAATCATCGAGCTCACACCCTTGGTCTCAACAATAATCTTCAAGAGATATTGATAACACATACAATCAGTTACATTCTCACGGAGCTGATATTGAAGATCGCTTCATACTCTCACGACATAGTTCATCGCCTTCTGCTATCACCAGCAGCACATTGAAATGAATGAATTTCTCCACGCTGCTTACAATGCAAATATGTGCAGCAAAGTATCTCAATCACAAGCTTCAAGGTGAGTTGCAAGGATGGTTGGCCCTCCGGGGTAAGTAATTGTCAGTTTTTATCTGTTTTACGGATCTGAGGGCGCTCCGTGTGGTTCGGGCGCTGATCATGCATAACGGGTACCTGCAGGCCGCAGCTTCCCTGCCATGTCGAGGCGACTACTGAATATAACGAGTCGGGCAGTCTCCTTACCCGCGCAGGACCTCGCTTTCTCTCTTCATGGTCTCAGATACAGACATCACCATACTATGTCAGCAGCTTCGTGCATCGCTCCGGAAGATCGGGTCGGACGAGCAACAGAGCGCGCTAGAGGCGAAGGAGCACACTGAGGACGACGTCCGTGCGGCGCTACAGCACCTGCACCAAGTCATCGCGAAGCAGCGATTGCATAAATTGGAAAAAATAGCTGCCAAGGTTGGAGATGTAGTTGAGAAGCTATCGCCAGTGATCGAGGCTGCGACTGAGGAAGTGGGGCACCACACGTCAGCAGTATGGGCTGCTTTCGTGACATTATTGAGCGTGAGTCAGTCCTGTCCTCTTATATGCTGGAACATATTGCGTACTCAGTACAAGAAAAGCTGGCAGGAGCGCGCAGCAACGTGTTCGAAGGTATGCGGTGTGTAGAAGTCATGACGGTTTCACGAGTCCTCACATGGTCCGAACTAGCTGTTGCGGACGTTCTCATGTACATCACAGACAACCTGCCCCGAATTTGTACATATATCAAGGCCTGGAGATCTCAGGCGATCGACAATTTGACGGGTACGATTGCCAACCCAGCGGCTTATGCATTTCGGGACATCGTGAAGTATCTCACAGATGTTGCGGATATAATGAGCTCGAGTAAGTTATCCCTGTTGCAGAAACAATATGACCGCCACTTTACTGACATATCTGTCAGGGTGGAAGCCATTCTGGGCCGGATTGAGCAAAACTGAACTGAAGGCAGACTTTGGTCAGGCAAAGGCCAGGTTAAAGGACAGCTTTTTATCCGCTGATTTCCAGTCGATTGCCAACAACTTTAAGGTGATCAATGTGTACCAAGATAGTGAGCATCACTGTGCTAGTTACGCTAAGCATTGACTGAGTTGCTGCGAGAGCTGCGCATGGAGCAGTTGCTCCACCGCTTACATACCGTCAACTTTGAGAACGACCTGAAGCGCCGACAGAAGGATCGCCTAAGATCGTCGTGCAAGTGGTCCAAGGCAAACGTTACAATCCAGGGCTGGCTAGAAGCCGGTTCAAATGCATCGCCCGAGACAATACGTCTTTGGCTGCACGGAGATTCCGGAACGGGACAGAGCGTAGTAGCGGGATATCTCATCAAGCAGGTGCACAAGCAGCGGGCGCCGGACGAGATAATCATGTACTTCTTCTGTGACGGGCAGAGCCGCGCGAAACAGACTGCCGAGACCATTCTCAAGACGCTCATCGTACAGATGCTCAAGTCCTCTGAGCCACGAGTCTACTGCGAGGAGGCAATGTATGTCGCTGACGAAGTTCTATCGAAGTCAGACGACTATCCATTTTCGCTGGATGATCTGTGGGACTTCTTCGTTCGCCTGCTTGGGTCTTTCACAAAGGGCAGGTGCGCCCTGGAATGATCTTCTACTTGTAGTTTACTGATTGCACCCGTAGCATCATTCTCGATGGTCTGAACGAGTGTCATCCAGACGTTCTCGGCGAGGATTCACTACTCTCACGCTTGTGCCAGCTTGATGGTAGTCGACTACGACTGCTCATACTGAGCCAGGACGTAGACGACATCCGCTCGTGGCTGGGAAACTGGGTCGCTGTGGAGATTGGCGGCGAAGAGACGACACAGGACGACCTGCGTTCTTATGTGTTGTCTGAGGTCGAGAAGCTGGCAGCGTTCATTCCGAATCTTCCGGCCACCGACATGATGGTGGAGGCCATCTATAATGCGGCGTCTGGCGCATTCCGTTACATCCAGCTACTGGTCGACAAGATGAAACGGGCTCGGGCTCGGGGCGTGGAGCAAACTCGTCTTGCTGACCTTCCAGAGGGGTTGCAGCAGATGTATCACGACTACATCGGTGGCCTTTTTCACAGGCCCCCGGGACATGTACGACTCAACGAAGTTGCCGTCCGGACACTGCAGATCATGCTCTTCATCGATACATCGTTCACGCTCAATCTCGACACCCTGCGCATCTTGCTCGCAATACACCCGTCCGACGAAGACATCAGCGAGGATAGATACTATGCTGTCGCCCGCGACATCCGCCCAACCCTCAGACAAGCACTCGGCGTACTTCTCGATGACGAGATTCCGGACGCTGGACCGCGATTCGCGCATCAGTCGGTGAAAGACTTCTTGCTGCAGTCCGATCCTGAGACTTTCGACGATCCTGTTGTTCAACATGTTCTGCGTGCAATGCAGCGCGGTAGCGCAAACTGTGTCCTTACCATGACGTGCTGCACCATTCTTGCGTCCCCGCACTGGCGGCAAAGGGAGATGAAGCGCAGGAACGACTTCGACCGGGAGCTACCACAGGTCTGCGCGCCGTACGTATCCTCCTCTGCCGCGCTCTACGCCCTCGAGACAGGTATCAATGCCATTGCCGTACAAGCGGGTTTGCGCAAACGGATTACGACTTTCATTCACGAAAGGGATTCGGATATACTTCACCAATTACTAATCGGCGACGCACACTTGCATGTCCCGAGGACCTTTCATACAGAGGACGTGCATTCCTTGCCGCTTGATAACCCCCACGTCCACCGTCCCTTGTATGGTGTCGCATATGATTGCAGAGCATCTCTTGATGGCTACGTGTCTGCAGCGACAGAAAGTGGTCAGCACGCGGCGTGTTCCCAGGCGTTAGTTCCACTACTACTGTCTGCGATGGAGCAGTGTGCTGTGACTGCTACCTCTATAGCTGATAGCGCGGATTCCGGTCTGAACGCATTATCCTATGCTCATGCTCGCATGCAAAGTGACTTGGCTACAGCTCTCTCGCACATTGGGAGTGCTCTCACAGACATCCACGAGCTCATGTCGCAGGTGTACCTCTCTGATGACAGTCAGAAACCTAGATTCGATGTCGAGGCGTCTTGGGTGCAAGCTATGGCATTCATGTACGACCCGTGCAATACGTTCAGCATGCGCCTGCAGCCGAATATCTTTGGAACACTCCTCAATATATGGTACTCTCGACTGTCTGACCTTGGATTCGCTTCTTTCCCTGCGATCTTAACGGCGTTCGCATCTCTTCGACAAGCGCAAGCGGTTCTCAGCCGGCTGCAGCTGCTCCTCCCACAGCCAGGCATTACCAATATGTTGGACGGCATCGATCAAGTTGCAGACATCCTTGTTTGGTGGTTGACCCTACACCATTATCCCTATTGTGCGGCGGAGACGCAGGGTTCGCTGATGCATCTTCTTGTAAAACACCCCATATGGTGGCCCTTGCCGTATGTCCGAGCCAACATCCACAGCGGCGAACCTGAAGAAACACTCATTCTCAACGGTATACGCGTGCTCCAGCTCGATATTCGCAATTGGATGCCTTCACGTCTTTCCCGGAACATCAATATTGCCGTTTGGCTGACCATGTCTATCGCAATCCTGTTGCTCATCATATGCTCGACGAACCAGCTTATCCAGGTACTCGCTGCTATTTGGATACTCGATACACAAATCTGTGAGCCTCGATACCATTCACAAGCCCTTCTCAGGTCTCCCGAGCGGATCGCACGCTCTGTCTTGTCATGGGTTATAGTTCTGCTTGCTCTGAGACTATGCGTGTCGTCTATCTGGAATTGTGCTGCGGGCGGCCTTGTCTACGTCCTACATGTCAGTCGTCTCCTTCGCTTTCGCTTGTATTGGTATAAACAATTCCCGGACGTACCACTCACCCTGACGGGACCTGTGACGTTCATACGACTCATGGTTGGCTTCAAGTACCGCATCTGGAACGTCGAGCTTGGTGGCAATACTGTTCGTGATCAGGATTCATCAGCACTGCGTGAGGCGGAACTTGCGGGCGTAGAGGTTCTCATTCATTCAATTGACCGCCGCCTCCTATGGTTTATCAGGACTGTGCTCTGGACGATATCAACAAACTGGTATGGCTGGGTTACGGTATTGTTTCCAAGACTGTCGCTCTCCGTCATCATCCAGTATGTCCTGGCCGATATCATGCTCCGCAGAGCCGTGGAACTCTGCGAGGATCCATGTCATGCTCATCGTGCGCAATTCCTGTTTTCAAGGCTGCCAAAGCAGATGCAGAAGCTATCCCGGGGGATAGAACTGTTGACATTCGAGCTGAGGGATCTCGTTGGAACGGATTGGGACGCTATCGTATTTCAGAGCCCAGAAAATAAAGTAGTAGTACTCGGTGCGTCGTTCGTTCGTTATTATTCTAATGTTGCTCACGATCGTGCGGCAACATCAGGTGCTGATCAAAGTGATGCCACCTCCGGCACAAGCGAGACTACTGATGAAGCGGTGCCTCTCGTTCCTCCGTTCCTCAGTACGTATCACGATCTGAGCCTCAGAGTGCAGGACTGAGCGGATGGTCATACATAGTTCCAAGTGAAGCTGAGAAATCGGGGAGCATAGGCGGATGGGTATACGCCAGACAGAAACAGGCCGATGAAGGAGATCGCTATGAATATGCGTTGCAAGGGAAATTGAATCAGCCTCTATAGTGTGATTGATGGTAGGCAGCTGTCTGTATTAAATAATGGAAATACCGACAGGCCTGGTCCACCTTGCTTACTTCCTGGGGACAGCCATGCTTAGGTTCACATGCCAGAAGCAATATTGTCTGACTCGTTCCATACCTCGTTTGCTTTCTACACATCAATACCCGAGTGCCCGCTGTCAAATACGACGTGGAAAATCAAGCCTTTCTCTTCCTGAAGAGCACCTGCGCCTTCCTGTTAGGCACAAGCGACGTTCCAAACCACATTTATGGTGCGCTGCGAGGAGGGACAGCGCATTTATGAATGCCTGCAGGCACTATGAGGCAAAGGAAGCGTTGAGGGTACGGAGTACGCACCAAGGAAGAGGTATGTATAGCCACAATATTGACCGTAAGTACCCGCAGCACGAGCGCGCGCATGGTGCGTTCCTCGCCCTGTGCGGTATCCGTGAGCCACTGGAGCAGGTCATTCTGCGAATGAGCTAAGCAGGCGGGCGAGCAAACGGAATGCGTCAGCGATATTCCACGTGCAAGCACGAGCATAGCGGCGCACAGGTTTGTCCTGCCAGTCCTTGCCGCGCTCTTCGATCATGGGCTGGAGGTGCTTCATAACACGTGCGATGCGCTGCGGGACCTTCGTGAGCAGGCGCCGGGCGATTCTGTGAACGCAGTCACGGCATCAGTCACGATGGATATCCCCCAAGCATGCATGACAGGGGACGTACGGCTTGAAGACGCTCGGGAAGAGGCTAACGATCGCGGCGCCCGTGAAGACGTCGATGGAGAACTGCTTTCAGCTTGAAGTAGTCAGCATTGCGACCTGCTCGGTCGCGCGCGTTCGTGCCAGTACCGGCTACAGTGCTAGGCGCACGAGCGCGACTCACAGAACGTAAGGCTGACGGATAGCCGGTTGCTCGTGCGAGCGACGACGTCCATCACAACCTCCATTGCAGGCACGGCTTTCCACTCTGCAGCGTACATCAGCCTCATGCGACTCAGACGCACGCGAATGCACCTACCGTCGGACATTCCGACGGCGTCGCCGAACGCACACACAATCTCATCGCGCAACTCTGGGAGCAGCACGGGCAACGCGCGCGTCAGCTGTGAACGCACGATCGGGACGTGGTAGAGGTTGCTTGCGATGTTAGGGCCGAGCGTGTATGGCACCTGGATGTCTGCGCGCGGGGGCTGAGGACTGCTAGCGTGGAGGCGCGCGCATGAGAGAGATGCGCTCACCTCATTCGTGGCCGCACGACGCAGCTCCTCGAATTTGCGTGGGGTCCGAGACGACGACGCACTAGCCGCCTGGGTCGGCATGCCTCCCTTGTACTGGTGACGATGAATATATTATCGCCTGACAGTGTAGCTGCGCATGCAGAAGCAGAAGTGGCTGGACCATGCGGAGACCATCAGTGACGTTACGCACTTTCGCGGTTGGGCAAATGCAAGGTTGTGTGGTTCGTCGAGACGCAGAGAATGACGGGAACCTCAACGCCGCGTCTCGCTCGCAGCGTAAACGCCATACAGCAGCGTTGGATATGGCCGCACATACGAGCAGTAG